TGAGACAGGGTCTCCCTGTAGCCACAGCTGTCCTGGAACTCACTATGTAGACCAGGCTGGCCTTGAACTCACAGAGATCCACCTGCCTCTGCCTCCTGAGTGCTGGGATTAAAGGCATGCACCACCACGCCCGGCCTTATTTTTATTTTGTGTCTGTTAGTGTTCTGCCTGTATGTAAGTGCACCACATGCAATGCCTGCAGAGACCAGAAGAGGGCATCGGATCCCCTATGACCAGAGTTAAGAAGACAGTTGTTACTTGCCAAGTGGGTGCTAGGAACCAAACCCAGGTTCTCTGCAAGAGCAGCCAGTGCTTTAACCTCTGAGCCAGCTCTCTAGCCCTTGCCTTGTACTTTGATGGAACAGTTTTGCTTCACTTCCTTTTTCTCCGACTCCTAGAATGATGGATTTGTGCCCTCCTGCAACTATTCTGAGGAGGAGGAACAACAGGGTCCCTCTTTCTCTCTCTGTGTGTGTGTGTGTGTGTGTGTGTGTGTGTGTGAGAGAGAGAGAGAGAGAGAGAGAGGAGAGAGAGAGAGATGGTCTGTGGGATGGTCTGTGTGTATGTCTCTGTATATGACTGTGTATGCCAGTGTCTATGTGTATGGGTGGATGACTGTGTAGAGGTGGTAGCTGACCTGTGAGCTGGAGCATCATATTTTCCCCTCTGATGGCACAGTCAGCACGTCTTGCATGTCTGGCTGCCGTGGGAACAAGCATGCCCTTCAAGCCATCTGCACTAGGGCTTATGACCCAGCTGGTCACCCTTCTGCCCCAGAATGCCAGTGTCCTGGCTGTCCCCTTTGTCCCTGTGGCCTGTTTCCTTCTTTCTGTCCATTCCCACCCTCTGTGTCCAGCTGAGATTTGTTATGGGTGGTTTCCTCACTGTCCTATTCAAATGCCTTGTGGGTGCTTCTCTGCGCTCTCAGGCAGCCAAACAGATCACCTGCTGGCAGTTTGATTTCCCCCCTCTGCCTGGTGGCCTTTGTACCCAAAACAAAGAGAAGCAGTAGACTGGACTGTCTCTGGCCTAGATATTTTTCTGCCTTGGCTCACTTCTTTCTCTGCCTCTAAATCTGGCTGCAAAGCCAGCTCTGGGAGGAAAACTTTCCTTGATCTGGAGACCTTCTTTCTTCCATGTAAAACTTTTCTGAAACCAGGATGCATCTTGTAGTCATCAGTACATTTAGTATGGAGTCTTTCTTTGTGTCTAGGGATGATGAGTTATGAGTGAGAAAATGAAGTAGGAAGGAGGAAATGGTATGAAAGTAAGCTGGGTTTCCTCCTGTTGTACTTCAGATACTTCAGTCGGCCCCCACTGAGGGAGGGCTAGGTGGCCCAGATGAATAGAGATGAACAGGATGCTCTTGCCTGCCCCCAGAGGAACTGAGCTCACAAATCGGTGAGGGAGGCCAATAGACCACCCAGGGAATGAGAGTGAACTGAGCCACACAGAAGCCCAGGCAGGGAGCAAGGCAGTCCATACACCTCTGCTTGCTGCTCATGCAGGTTGGAGCCCACTCCATCCTGTGCACATTGACATCCCTTTCCTTTTTGCTGTGAATTAAACCCAGGTCCCCAGAGCCTTACTCTTCTGCCACTAAGCCATTTCTGCACCTCTTGTAGCTCAGGCTGGCTTCAACTTGCTATAGACCAAAATGACCCTGAACTTCCGATCCTCCTGCCTCCACGTCCCTAGTGTTATGGTCACAGATATGAGCTAACAAGGCCCAGTTTATATAGTGCTAGGGATCAAGCCCAGGCTTTTTGCATGCTAGGCAGGTACGCTACCAACTGAGCTACATCTCCAGGCTTCCCCTTCCTGTTTTTAGTTTTTAAATGACATTTTATTATTGTGTGTGCATATGTATGTATGCACGTGCATGCCATGGTGTGTATGTGGAAGTCAGAGGACAACTTTTGGGAGTGGGTTCTCCCCTACCACATGGGTCCCTGAGATCAAATTCAGGCCACTGGGCTTGCATAGCAAGTGCCTTTATTTACTGAGCCATTTCGCTACCCTCCCTTTTGTTGTTGCTATTGTTGTGTTTTGAGACAGGGTCTCCCTGTAGCCCCAGTTGGACTAGAACACACTATGTAGACCAGGCTGACCTCCATCTCCTGACCAGAAATCCACCTGCCTCTGCCTCCCCTGTGCTGGGACTAAAAGTATAGGCACACCCAGCATCCTCTCTGTTATCGAGACAGGGTAGTATTCTCCTGCCTCAGCCTCCTGATTGCAGGGGTTACAGGTGTGCCCACAACACCAAGCCCTTATTGCTCTTTAAAAAAGAACTCAGGTCTCTAGCTGATACCCCTGTGTTCCTTGCTGGAGGTAGTGAGTCTCAGGAAATGGCTGCATCTAGAGCTCAGTGGTGGAATATTTGCCTAGCATGAGTGAGGCCCTGGGGTTAGATCGCTAGTACTGCCCCTCACAAAAAATCCTGGGATAATCCAGAGGAAATTGTAGTATATATGGTACCTTGCCTGGTCCCTTAGGGGCCCAGCTGGTGCACTTCTTCTGCCCTGTCTGCCCTGGGCCCACTAACCTGGTGGCCCTGCCCTGCCTTATTGCAGCTAGAACTGGCCACAGCCAAGAACGACATGAACCGGCACCTGCACGAGTACATGGAAATGTGCAGCATGAAGCGGGGCCTGGACGTGCAGATGGAGACCTGTCGCCGCCTCATCACCCAGTCTGGAGACCGGTAAGAGCCTGCCCAGAGATCTGACTGTGCCCCTGCTCCCAGGGAGGGAGGGTGAAGCAGAGCCCTGAAGACCTGCTACTTCTTCCTGTGTGGCGCCCTTGGGAGTCACCTCTATTTGTGGCCCAAACTTTTCCCTCCCTTTGGCAGTCAGGTGAAACCTACCAGTGCCCCAAACTCTGTGGTTGTCGTGGTTATAGACAACCTAAACCTGGCAAGGAACAAAGATGTGGGGGCAGATTTTTATCTAAAGTCAGGCCATGATTTGTGCATGTGACCCTGTGAAAGAGATTTTAGGGCTGGAAGTGTAGCTCAGTGATAGAGTGCTTGCTGAGCATGTATGCGGCCCTATTTTCAGTTAACACACACACACACACACACACACACACACACACACACACACACACTTTTCATTACTATACACATTTATATAACACATAGCATTAAGAGTAAATTAAAAGTGCTTAAAAATTCATACACCAGGCATGTATATGCCTATAATTCCAGCGCTTGGGAACTTGGGAGGCTGAGGCAGGTGGATTGCCGTGAGTTTGAGGCCAGCCTGGGCTACAGTAGAAAAACCTTGCTTCAAACCAAACCAAACAATAATAATAATAATAAAAAATACTCTAAGCCAGGGGTGGTAGTGCACACCTGTCATCTAAAAACATGGGAAGGAGGCACAGGCAGTTGGATTGCCACAAGTTCAAGGCCAGCCTCATTTATATAGTGAGTTCCAGGCCAGCCAAGAATATATACAGAGACCCTGCCTTAAATAAATTAAAAACCACCACCACCTCCAAAAACAAAAGACCAAACCCAAACCCCCAAATTGTAATAAGCTGGCCAGGGCTCCAGTGTCAGTCCATGCAGGCTCAGGTGGCATCTCTGTGCTGTGACTTCAGACTCTTCTGATCTCTGAACCTCTTGGAGCCCCCAAGATAACTGTTTCTTCCATCAAATTGGGTAGTGGAAGAGTCTCCCTCCCCACTTCCTTGCATCCAGATGCACCCCAGTTATCCACTGCCCTATCCTGAAATGTTACCCACCTGCCAGAGGATAAGGCCATGGGGAGAGAAGCATGCCAGCCTCATCCTTCATCATAGCCTTCCCACATTGTGACATGTGATGTTTTTTTCTAGAAAGTCTCCTGCTTTCACTGCGGTCCCGCTTAGCGACCCACCGCCAGCGCCAAGCGAGACTGAGGACTCCGATCGAGATGTCTCATCTGACAACTCCATGAGATAGGGACCAGTGCCTTGGCTCCCCAAATACCACTGCACGCAGCCTGGTCCTGGGGCTGTAGTGTTCTTCCCCTTGGGCTTTCTCCTTCCTTGGTCTCTCCAGGGTTCTGGGGTGCCTGGAGCTAGGCTCAACCCTACCCTTCCTGGACAATTCCCATCAATTGGGACACTCCTGCCTTCAACTGTGGGTATCTTCTACTTCTCCATCTTTAAAACGCTGCCAGAGCACTTGGGGTCCCTCCCTTCTCCATTTTATAAGGAATGTGAATGTGGGACCTGCCAGCCCTCCTTGAGGTCTACAGGCTGTCTTGGATTTTGTACTGGTGCTAACCAGCCCAGGAACTGCACCATGCATTTAGAAAGGGCTTCACTCCCTAGTAAGGGGGAGGGTGGCAGACTGCCCCAGGCACTCTGTCCTACATCTAGTTCACTTGCTCATAGCTGCTCACCTGCCTAACTCTTCAATGAATGTGGCTGTGTAGCCCTCCACTTGGGGAAGGTCCAGTGTGCTGAAGGGGCCTGTGCCTGGACTGGGAGCTGTGTCCTGAAGGGAAACAAGTCATTGCTGAGAGAAAAAGGTGAAGGTGCTGTGTGCACATGCGACCATGTGTGCTCAGAGGGTCTGCTTCCCCCAGGATCAGCTGAAGATGTGCCTCCATGCTTGTCAATTCACAAAACCAGCAGGCTTGGAAAGTGGGGAGACACAATACCTCAGTATGGGGAGGCTATGTCGAGCTGACATTTGAATGGAATCTTTAATAATAATGAAGGTGGCAAGTATTTGAGCACCTGTGTCACTGTTTCAAGCACTTTCTCATGTAACTGTGAAGTATGTAGTGATGCCTTTATTAGCTCTTTTAACACATTATCCTAACACACAGTGAGGTATGGATTGTAACTCACTGCCCTAGAGTGAAAGCAAGTACCCACCAATGTCAGCCCGGGGCCCAGCCTTTAATGAGGAGCACAGGACTCTTAGCATGTCGTATTTCCTCCAAGCCAGAACCTTACTTGCCTGGCATGTTCTTCAGTCCTACTGTATTGGGTATGCTTCCAAGTTTACCTAGTCTGGAGACCTGGGAACAATTAACTGCAGGTAAAGTACACACACACACCCAGAGATAACTTGCTCAAGAGCAGTAGGAGGCCTTAAATTTACATGCTAGATAAAGCATTATCCCATGTGGTGCAACTGGTCAAGGTCACCTGAGTCTCCAATGCCCTTATTTCTTACGGGCTAGCACATCAAAAGTTGATTTAATGACCTCACAAAGGTCCTCCCAAACACCATGGTGGGGCCAGGGACATAGCCCCTCCTTGGCACCATCCCTCCCCTAGACACTTAGATTAAGGCACGCAAATGTGGGTGGGTGCAGTGAACTTTATTGATGGTATTCAAGAGAGTAGGGCGCCCTAAGCCCCTCCCCTTCTTCAGGGGGTCTAGGATGGAAACTGAAGGAAGATGCTCAGTGTTCGGGGCTGAGTTAGGGCAGGGGACCCCCCCCCAGCTGAGGGTCTCTCCCTTCCTCTTGCTGGGGTCAGTGGTTGTTAGGGCTTCTTACTCCTTGGAGGCCATGTGGACCATGAGGTCCACCACCCTGTTGCTGTAGCCAAATTCGTTGTCATACCTAGAGCCATCAGGAGGACTGGTATTAAGGGCTGCTTTTCCAAGTTAGCCACCAGAGGGCACCCCTCCCACACACCTAAGCTCCAATTTTCCCTCCCACATACCAGGAAATGAGCTTGACAAAGTGGTCGTTGAGGGCAATGCCAGCTCCAGCATCAAAAGTAGAAGAGTGGGTATCACTGTTGAAGTCGCAGGAGACGACCTGAGGAAGGGACAAAGCTAAGTACTGGAACCCAATCCTGTTCAGAAGACATGTGGGCATCAAGCTCCCAGTGTCATCAATACCTGGTCCTCAGTATAGCCCAGGATGCCCTTTAGGGGGCCCTCGGATGCCTGCTTCACCACCTTCTTGATGTCATCATACTTAGCCTAATAAGTAAAGCAAAACCAAGATGAATATTCAAGCTCTAACCCTGCCATCATACCAGAGACAACCCCTGGCCCACTCCAGACATACAGCTTTCTCCAGGCGGCAGGTCAGATCCACGACAGACACATTGGGTGTAGGAACACGGAAGGCCATGCCAGTGAGTTTCCTGTGGGGATACAGAGAAGCTACGTCAGCCCCAATTGCTCCTGGTCAGCTTTCCTGCACTTTTCTGCACAGCAAAAAGCCTCACTTACCCATTCAGTTCTGGGATGACCTTGCCCACAGCCTTGGCAGCCCCAGTGGATGCAGGGATGATGTTCTGGGCAGCCCCACGTCCATCACGCCATAGTTTCCCAGAGGGGCCGTCCACAGTCTTCTGGGTAGCTGTGATGGCATGAACTGTGGTCTGGAAACACAGAGGGAATGAAGCCTTGTAGGGCACCTCTGTCCCTGGGGGTGGGGGAAGTCTATGCAGGGCCAAAGATGCAATCCTGGGTGAGAACGGAATGCATTTATGTCCCACTGTCCACACACATACCATGAGTCCCTCGACAATGCCGAAGTTGTCATGGATAACCTTGGCCAGGGGGGCTAAGCAGTTGGTGGTGCAGGAGGCGTTGCTGAAGAACAAGAGGTATGTCAGGGAAGCTCTTCCACCTATAACCTTGGTTCTGCCTGCCCACTCCTCCACTGCCCTCTGACCTCCTCACCTGACAATCTTGAGGGAGTTGTCATATTTCTCATGGTTCACACCCATCACAAACATGGGGGCATCAGCAGAAGGGGCAGAGATGATGACCCTTTTGGCTCCACCCTTCAAGTGGGCCTGTGTAGGAGAAGCTGGTTTTGAACCTGGCTGGCTCTGCCTTTCCTGGTTCAGGCCACACTCAACCAGGACCCCCCCCCCCCCCCCCCCCCCCCCCCCCACCCCCCCCCCACCCCCCCCCCCTTTTTTTTTCATCTTTTTGTGACAGGGTCTCCTTGTAGCCCCAGCCCACCTGGAACTTACTATCTAGACCAGGCTAGCCTCTATCTCACAGAGCTCCACCTGCCTCTGCCTCCCAAGTGCTGGGAGTGCGTGTGCCACCACACCTGGTGTGACTGAGCCATTTTAAAAACACGTCTGTTTCTCCTTCCTTACTTACTCCTGGAAGATGGAGATGGCCTTCCCATTGATGACAAGTTTCCCATTCTACTTCCTTACTCACTCCTGGAAGATGGAGATGGCCTTCCCATTGATGACAAGTTTCCCATTCTCAGCCTTAACTGTACCATTGAACTTGCCATGGGTGGAATCATACTGGAACATGTAGACCTGGGCAACAACAAAGGCATGAAGGGACTGCTTCAGCACACAGTCCCTCCCACCACCTGCAGGGGCAGCACTCACCATGTAGTTGAGGTCAATGAAAGGGTCATTGATTGCAACAATATCCACTTTGCCAGAGGTGAAGGCAGCCCTGGTAACCAGGCGCCCGATACGGCCAAATCTAAAAGGGAAGAGGCAAGGTGAGTTGGGAGCAGAGTATATTTGTTCTCATGGGTCTGTAGTCAGATCTGGGCCAACTAATACTCCTCCAGAGAGCAGAACAGAATAGTTGTCCCACAACTCTAGAGTTTGTACATTCCTGTGCTTTCCTTGGAATTCTCTTTCCTCAATAGTTTTGGTCTAGTTTGACAGTACTTGGATACAGAGCCCTCAAATATGGAAGGGCAATTAATTGCATAGCATCTCCTCATCCTAGAGAGTCCCAAGAGGTCTAATTTTATCTTGAATAATCCTGGCCAGGCAGGCCTGGCTTTTTACATGGTCATAAAATGGAGGCTCTTTTCCTGTCTAAGAAGTGATTAGGCTCAAAGCCTCCCCCGACCATCAGTCATTTAAAGTCTTCAGTAAGTGGCAGTCACTGCCTCCTACAGTCTGGGCACAAATTTGACACATGGCATTTATTACTTGTGCCCTGGGATGGCTTGTTCCAGCCTGGCTCAGCCTCAGGCCGACACCCTTCGGAGAGGAAAGACTTGTGCACTCAGCATCACCAAGCTCAAAGGGTAAGGCTAAAGGTCAGAATTAGCTGCACAGGGTCAGCCCACCTACCTCCTCCAAGTCCCACCTACTTAAGGAACCCAGAAAGCCAGCTGGCTTCTAACCCCTAATCCCAGGGCTCTAGTTTGCAAAAGTACCCAACCTTCCTAACTAAAAATCTTAAGTGGGAGCAACAGATGTGTATAGGGGGGAACAGGGTGGAGGAGGGCCCAGACCCCAGTTATAGAAAAGGTCAGACAGCTAAATTTAACCTCAGATTAGGGTGGAGTGGGGAGATCTGGTTTCTGGGGGATGGATTGGGGAGAAGGGCAGGATTCCGAGGCCCACAGACACCCAATCCTCTTAGTGACCTTTAGAGCGTGGCCTATAGGGTTTGGGTCAGTGTGAGCCCGTGATAGGAAGTAGAGGTGAAAGGGAAGGGGCTACCGCTATGGGAGCCATTTTATACTGGAAATTTTATTTTCTAACCACCATGACTCAGCTTCCCTGGCTTGGCACCAAGCCACTGCTGCCACACCTCTGGGGCAAGGACACAAGTGGACCTCCTTAAGTCCGCTTCGATTCTCAGGGGATTATCTAGAAAAAGCATCATGCCTGAGGAATCGGGCTGCTCTGGGGTTAATAAGATTAAAACAGTTTGTGATGCCCAGCTTTTTTAAGAGCGTGTGTGTGGGGGGTAAGGGGGTGGGGGGGAGAAGCCTTGTCTCACCTAGCTTACGGGATAAAGGAGACTCCACCCTGCTGAGGGTGGAGTGAGGAGGTTAGTCACAGGCTAGGAAGGAGGAAAGCAGAAGGGAGGTTTCCTAACGGTGGTTCATTCATTTCCTTCCCCGTTGCAACATGGCGCCGGTTACCGCAAGGGAAGCCCTTAGCTGATGATGCGCCAAGTGTGCACCTCGCATCCCGGTTGCCACCCGCAGGGGAGGAAGGAGGCTGTGGGGGAGGGGCTCCCAACCGGACACGTGACCCCACAGGGCGCGAAAGGAAAGAAAGAAGCTCCAGCCAGGGGATTAAGGGATGGGAACGTGAACGAGAAGTGGGGGGAGGGTCCTCCTATTTGTGGAGTGGAGCTCCGGGGCGGCTCATCCCTGCAAGGGCGGAGTTCCAAGAGGCGCAACAGCTGGGGGCCCGGGGACGCGAGGCCCTGCCTGAGCTTCCGCCAGGTCCGAGCGCTGACCTTGAGGTCTCCTTGGGTGCTGCCGCCACCCCATCCACTTCCCCAGGCTATCGCAAAAACTCTCGGACCAGCCAGACCCGCAGACGGGATTGAGCGGCGGCCGCGGCCCGGGACTCCACCCTGGTCCAACCTCTAACTTACCCGTTCACTCCGACCTTCACCATGGTGTCTCAGGGACTAGGCTGCGGGAGAGGAAAGGTGAGCGTCCATCAGCGTGGTCTGAGAAGCACCCGGCCCCTCCCCCTCCCGGTCTCCATTCCCACCGCGCGCCCCATCACGTCCTCCTCCTCCTACCCCTGCAATGCAGAGCCGAGCTCGGCCTACGCATCGCACCCCAGCGCCACCAGACCCCGGCCAGCGCAAGTCCCGTTTCCCGCTGGCGACTGTCCCCCGCCACCCGAGGCCCACTCTGCGTTTTCACCTGGCACTGCGCTAGAAGATGCGGCTGTCTCTAGAACGGGGAGGAGCAGAGAGCACCGGGGAGGGCTGCAGGCTCCATTTATAGGAAGCGGGGTGGTGGGGGAGCTGGTGATGCGGGCCCCGCCTCCCGCCCGCTCCTCCAGTCGCAGCTCAAGGGCGCTGAGGCCTGAGCTACGTGCACCCGTAAAACCGTGAGTAGCTGGGCCTGCTGCCCTCCCCCCCCCCCACTTGTCCCGCCTAGTTCTTGAAATGTGCACGCACCGAGCGTGTGGGCTCGGGATGGAGACGGGGAGGGGAACCGAGATTGGCCCTTTGGGGAGGTGGCTTGCTTCCCAGGATGGGACAGAGTGGGATACAGGAAACTATGGACTTCAGGACCGGGGCTTGGTGCGCCACGAGGACATCCAGGACTCGGGGACTTGAAGGTTGCTGCACGGATACGGAATTGGAGCAGAAATGTGGGATGGCTCCGGTCTGCACACCACCGACCCTCTCCCCTTTTTTGTAAAGGTTGCGGAAAATTCGAGGATCTTCTCTTCGTTGCTCTTCGGTAGTGACACACTGCGGAAGAAAAGGCCCAGGAGGGGCCAGCTTGCCTCCTGTTGGTGCCCTTCCCTGCCCCCACTAATCACTTCGCAGCCTCTTGGCTCCCCGCTTCTAGGGCTGGGGGCCTGGAGGAGGCTGGGGAAGATATCGGAGGAGGCGGTTCCTGCGCGTAAGGTCGCAATGCCCTGCAGCCTGGAGACCCGATAATTGGGATTTACAGGCCTCCTGTCCCTGTGTTAAGATGCTGAGGCCCTGGGCTGGGGTCCCAGGGTGAGGGCAACATTCCTAATGAAGGCTGGGCAGGAGGAGGCCCAGAGGGCCTCCTACAGTGTGGTTCCTGAGGTTTGCACTCCCCACCCCGGGAACCTGCTTCTACCACCCACTGCAGCCCGAGGCGGAGAGCTGGACATGAGGGCCGAAGTCCCTTCCCATCCTGGGACGTGCGGACTGGTTCTGGAAGCCTCCCACAGTGTGGCTCCTGGGAACCTCCGGGTTGCACCGCCAAGGTTGGGAAAGTGGTCCTTTCACCCACTGCAGCCCGGGACAGAGAGCTGGACGTGAGGGCGGAAGTCCCTCCCCGTCCTGGAACATGCGGACTGGTCCTTGAGCCAGGGACTCCCCTTCCCAGGCTGCCCACGTGGACCTTGGGGGTAGGGTGAGGACAGAGAGGGTAAAGAGTAGGAGGGGAGGTATCGCACCCTGGGTGAGAGAACAGGCAAGTCCCCAGTCCTTCCTATAAGTGGGACAGGGAAGGTTGGGAGATCCTTCACTCTTGAAGGGTAGCCGAGGATTGAAGAAGGGTGGGTTCTGAGCACTTGGAAGGGTTTTTGTGGGGGAGTACTCTGCATCAGCAGGTGCAGGGCAGGGGGATCCTGGGGCCTCTATGCTAAGCCAGTGTAACCTGAGACTAGCCCCCTGCCCTTGTAGCTGAAGAGCCCGTGACTAAGTTTAGCTGGCCCGGTGATACCCTTTGCTTAAAAGGCAAGGAACACGCAGGACTCCAGCCCTGGCCCCTTGCCTTTCAGGGATTGCCCTTCCTCCTTGCCCCCCCACCCCCCACCCCCCGAGCTGAGCCTGTGACTGACTGGCAGCTATTGGTGTGGCTTCTGCCCAGGCTTTCCATGAGCAGCAGGAGAGGCCAAGAGAACAGGATGGAGAGGATGGAAGTGGCCACGGTAGAGACCCAGCACCTCTTGAGGTGGTCTGCCTCTCCTTTTTGGCCTTCCTTCCAGAATATTCTGCCAGCCTGCATTAACCCTTTCCCCACCAAGGGTCTTAAGGGCTCCTCCATCGTCCTCCCCTAACCCAAAGCATGTTTCCGAGATACCATCTTCCCTTTTGCCTCATGCTTGCCATTTGTCATTACTGTACCTCCCCATCAAGGGTGAAAAAAAAACAACAAAAAGAGGCCAGGAGTTCGGATGCCTTGTGCTGTTGTCATGGCAGCAGAGACATCTGTGTGGCAGGCTCCAGCCTCCTGTTAAGTGACTCAGCAGACTGAATGCTTGGGAAGGGTGGGTAGCACTGGGCATGGCTTGCAACTGAGGGACTGGACAACTTGTGCAGGACCCTGTACCATAGTGAGGGACTCCTGGTTAGACAGACCTTATTACCTACAGAGCTGGAGGGACTCCTGACCTCTCTGTCATCAGCCAGGCCAGGTCATTTGCTGACCTTCAGGAGTTGGTTAGGGCATACAGGGGACACCAACCCTACGTCTGGATTCCCAGGCTCGGTCCTCCAGACATTGTGTGGCCAGGTGTCCTGTATGTGAAGATGTTTAGCATCATCCCTCCCTGGCTTTTACTGACAATGTTCTCAGCAACTATTTCTCCCCTCCCCTTTGAAAGGCTGTGACAGAAATATGTCTCTAGGCTTTGCTAAATGTTTTCTGCCGGACAGACTCGCCCCCAGGCTGAGAAGCACTCAGAAAACTGAGTAATTCTCCTCATTGGGCCAGCTTGTCAATTATACAAGATGCAGCGATGAGGGAGCATGAAGCTCATGTAAGATCTGGAGACAAGCTCAGGGCACCCGGGGCCCATTTTCTCTCTGGCTTGATAAACTTCTTGCTGCCCGAATATGGACTAATGTGAAACAAAGACCAGCTAAGACAGAATGCTTAAAAGTATATAAAAACATTTATTCCAATTAGAAAACAAGGTGACAGGCAAACATCTACTGGAAAGTGAAAGCACTCAGCACAGTTCAGATGGGCTAGTTAAGAGAAATGCCTTGCAATTTAAAGATTATGTGTTAAAAACAAGGAGGCAACAAACATTTCACAAGGGGAATGGAGCTGGAATTCCAGATTATCCAATAAGATTCCCTGCACAGCAGGAATAGAACATGGAAGACAAGTCCTAGGACCTGTGTCTACGGTAAGATGCTCTGCGGATGGGAGTTGTTTTCTTGGGCGTCTCATCTTCTGTCATCTCGGCTGATAGATCTATTCAAAGAATCGTAGGACAAAAGCTGAGTCACAAAGATGGTGCAAAGCAGATCTCAGAGAATAAATGGGACATTCCCAGACTACACTTCAGGGGGAAGACGTCACCAGGCAGAATGCATCTACATGCAGTCAAGCCCCATGGCAGGACCCCAGAGAATGAGCTGGCCTGGAGGGTAGATTATACCTTCCTCACTGGACTCATCACTTGAGAAGACAACCTTGACTTTCTTCTTGGATGTGCGCTGATGTGTGTTTGGAAGACGACGGGTAGTGCGGCGAGGCTCAGGTGTGACAAAGTCACTGTCTGAAGTTCCAGAAGTCAGAGGCTGTTGCTTAGAGACTAGAAAAGGCAGGGAGATAAGGCTTTAAAACAACAACAACAAAAAAAACCTGAAGAAAAAAGTAAAAGAAGGATTCTGTTTATAGGAAGGCCCAGAGTGGACTTGCCAAAAGGGGGCTGCCTTGCATACCAGTGGATGGCTTCTTGGCCGATGGCGTTTTCTGGCTACCTCCTTGACCAGTTTCAAGCTCCTCTAGTCCATCCATCCCTCGGGTGTGACAGGCCCGAAGCTTCTGCTCAAATTCATCTATTACAGCCTGCAGGAAAAAAAAAAAAGATTAAAAACTGGCCTGGACATTGCATGATACAGGTGTACCTACGTACATGCAGGTAATACTACATACATACACATAAAAATAATAAATATAAAGTTAAAAACCCCAAAAAAAAACAAACAAACAAAACTGGCCTAGAAACATTGTTATCTCCCTGGTTAAAAAGAAACAGCCATGAAAGAAAGAGATGGACCTTAAACATTTATTGCTAAGCAAAAGCAGCCAGTCTGAAAAAGCTACACACTGTGTGATTCTGACTAGTGGCCTTGAGATGTTTAGGGCAGTGAAAGTATCTGGTATTTCTGATATTGCAATGGCAAGTATGTGTCACTATATTCAGAGAACCCTGGTGTAAACTTTGGACTTTGGGTACTAGTCTGTTAGCATAGCCTGTACTCATTCAATCAATCATATTCATTCATCCAGTCAGTGTAGACTTTAAGAAAGGTAGCATGGGGAAGTTGATGAGGCAGAAGGTGTATGGGGACAGGGTCATTGGGAACTTTGCTACCTGTTAAGTTTTGCTTTAAACATGAAACTACTCTAAAAAAGAAAGTCTAAGGGGCTGGAGAGAAGGCTCTGCGGTTAAGAGCACCAACTGCTCCTGCAGAGACCCAGGTTCAATTCCCAGCATCCACATGGTGGCTACAAACTGTCCTTAACTCCAGTCCAGGAGAATCCAACACCCTCTTCTGATCTCCATGGCATTGCACGACATGGGTATACTCATATATGCAGGCAATACACTCATACACATAAAGTACTAAAATACTAAATATATTGGAAAAAAAAAAAGTCTAAGACAGGTCTGCAGGTGTGGCATGCCTTTAATCCCAGTACCCGAGGCAGAGACAGGTAGAGTTCTGTGAGTTCGAGATAGCGAATCCAAGTCAACTGTGGCTACAGGGAGACCCTGTCTCAAAAATACCAAAAAAACCTCCAAAAACTCTAGAGCTAGGTGTGAAGACATGCCTTTAATCCCAGAATTTGGAAGACAAAAGCAGTGGATCTCGGTGAGTTTAAGGATAGATGGTCTACAGGGTGAGTTCTAGGCCAGCCAAGGCTATAGACTGAGACATTATCTAAATATAAAAAGTCTATTAAAAAGGAACCAGGAATTAGAGACAGAAAGATCTGGTGTCAAGTCACTCTGGTTAGCTGGTTGTAGGGAAACTACAAACAAGGCCAGTTAGCCTATGCCACTCACCTTGCCCTCAGGCTTGGCCCCACGCCGCAGCTTGCCCACAGCTGACAAAAAGGCATTGAAGACAGACTCATCTGTCAGTTTATCTCCAAAGCAGTCAAAGTTGTCAAACATCTTGCGGAGGCCCCGCTCTGTGAGGGGCAGCTGGGATACACAGTAGGCCAGGTCACGGTACTGCCGCTCTGTTCTGTACAGGGGGAGGACTGTGTAAGGCCCATCTCAAAGCACATCCTTCCCCTTCAGTCTCCCTTGGTCCAAGGGGTGCCAGGGACTCTCCTATGCAGTCCCACCTGGCATAAAGATCTCCCCAAAAGGCAGCATACCGGGCTGTGCGGAACCGCTGACACAGCTTCTCCACCAGGCTCTCAGTCTGTTTGTCCTTGGTAATGTAGGAGAGGAGCTGCCTGCACGGAGGAGACGGGACTGTATGACCAGGGAAGCTCTGTTCTCACCCACTGTTCCACTGTACAGACAACCCAATCCCCTTCTCTGCCCTTGCTTTAGAAGACTATTCTTGGGCATGGCCCCCCACCTGTCTGTCTCACTCACTGTTCCTCTCATCCCCTTCCCAGAAATTTTACTGTGAATGTAACTTAATGGGAACAGCTGTTATTTAGTGAGTACTACTACATGCCTACCACATCAGGAACCGTATCCTAAGCATCAGAGACTATGAAGCAAGTAATACAAGTCTCATAGTGGGTATTAGGGGAACCAGGCAAGCAGGGGTCAAACTGCCAAAATGTAGCACTGCTGGGGCTGAGAGCACTGGTAGAGTGCTTGCCTAGCATGTGCAAGGCCCTGGATGCATTCCTAGCATTGCACCCAGGCAGTCAAACAATCAATCAAACAGAGCTATGATTCAAAGTGCGTCTGGTTCCTAAATCTGTTGCTACATGAAAAATGTGCCCCAAATCCTAGAGCACTGTACCTCATGATGGTGTGGAAGGGTTCCTCCTCCACCCCACCCTCTGGGTCTGACAGGCGGCTGATGATATCTGGGAGGAGATTATAGATAGCATTGCCCTGTGGGGGGGCGGGGAGGAGAGGAGAGGAGATGATGATAAGAGATAGATGGGGTGACCTATATGTATTCCTCTTCTGCAGCAAGCCTTAGGCTGTACCTTCTTACTCTCTCACCTTGTGGGAGAGTTCGTTGAAGAAGTTCTTGGCCAGGGCAGCAATCTGAGGCACAGGATCAATGAGTAGCACGGCCATCTCACTCACTTGTCCTTTTACCTTCACCATGTCCTTGAGGATCAAGTGGGTCATCACCAGCCCTGCTGTCTTCCGCACTTGCTGAGCTGGGTCACGGAGGCTAGGAATGAAAGCTCTGATCATTAAGATCAAGACCTCTGGGTTGGGGGCTGGAAAGATGGCTTGGTGGTTAAGAGCACTGACTGCTCTTGCAGAGGACCTGAGTTCGATTCCCAGCACCCACATGGTGGCTAACAACCATCTGTAACTCCAGTTCTGGGGGAATACAATGCCTTCTTCTGACCTCCGCAGCATTGCACGAGATGGGTGCACTCATATACATGCAGACAATACACTCATACACATAAAAATAAAAAAATATTAAAAAAAAAAAAAAAGACCTCTTGGTTATATACGCTAAGACTGATGCAAAGGCACTCTGCAGGAATCTATTACCCCACAGTATGCTATCCCACAAGCAGATGGAAGGCTGTCTTGAATTGAAAGCTGGAGCTAGGGAAGAGGCGAGGCTTATAGGTAAGACTTAAGAAGGCAGACTCAGGGGCTGGAGAGATGGCTCAGTGGTTAAGAACACTGTTCTTGCAGAAGACTCGGGTTCGAATCCCAGCACCCACATGGCAGCTAACAACTGTCCATAACTCCAGTTCCAAGGGATCTGACAGCCTCTTCTGTCTTCTGTGGGCATTGCATGACAAAGGGTGCACCTGCCTACATGCAGGCATAACACTCATACCCATAAAATAAAAATAAAAAAATTAAAAAAAGGCAGCTTCAATTCCCACAGTCCATTTAACCAGGGGTCTGTCTATACAGGGCTAGTATCCAGTAGATACTGAAGGCAAGGCTACAGGCCAGGGGAATAGTCTTGTGACCCACACTGCCTAGCAGACTCCAGAGCAGAGCTCTCAGCTGGTCTATAGTGCTGAGGGATCTCTTACCGGGCATATAGATGAGGTGTCCAGGGATCCACCAGGTTGGGGAAGCGGATGGCCAGATCCCCAGTGGCAACCATGAGATTAGACCGGACAGTGGGGAGTGAAGACTTTTCCAGCATGGTGAATAGAAGACGAAGCTGGGAGTCACAGAAAGGGGAGCTGGGGCAAAGAAAGGAACATCAGGGAAGCAGGGGAGCTCTATCATCTCATCCTCCTTGAGATGGTACCTACTTGGCCTACCTGACCATGCAGAACTTGCCAAGGGCGAGTGAAGCAGCTGCAGAGAGATCTGGGTTGCTATATAGGCCAGGGCTGTTGCAGACTTTAAGCAGAAGTGGAACAAAGGCTGCCAGTACCTGTTTGCCTATTGGAAGAATAGCTCTAGTTTGAGATAAGTTGTTATCAATTGGGGAAAATGTCACATAGCAATTTTTCTTACCCTCCAACAGTTCCATCTCACAGATGCCACGGATTAGTTCTGCCTCCGTATCATCAGCAGTGGCCCCGACCAGCCCCAACTCTTCCTCCATAGCTGTGTCAGAGCTTGTATTCTGAAGGGAAAGAAGCCAGGGATCATAGGTGATCACCCCCCGCTCCTTTTTCTGAAACACACTCTTCGGCTGGCTTCAAACTTGCAACATAGCTGAAGCTGGCTTTGATCTGATATTCCTGCTCCTACCTCCCAAGTGGTCTGGGGTTATAGGCATGTACCACTATGTCTGGCTCAAGGCATCTTTATTTTTTGAGACAGGTTCTCCCTATAGGCCCTGGAACTATAGCTGGCGTGGAGCTCACTATGTAGACCAGACTGGTCTCGATCTGTCTCGGGTGCTGGAACTAAAGGTGTGCACCAGGACAGACCCAAGGCATCACTTTTGAATCTAGCCTAATACTTTATTTTGCATGACTAGATCTAAGGATAGATGCAGTCTATAAAACCATTCAAAGAACTGTCAAATATGTCTGTAAAGAGAAAGAATACAACTAGATCGCCTCTGTCTTTTTTATCTAAGTTGCCAAGGCAAGGTTTTCTACACCTCTTAATTCATCCTCAGAAGACATAATGAATGTGGTAAATATATGGATCATGTCAGACAATGGTTCAAGGTCACAAAGGTTAGACTTTATGCCACTGCTAACAAGGCTCTGTGTCCTATTTGTGTACAAGATAAATGCCTCTAGTAGAGAGGACCCCACGGTCCTGTCAGGTGACAGGCCAGTAACAAAGGCTGATGGGGAAGAGGGGTGTGCTATGTGGATGTTCAAGCACATAATGCCTCAGATGGATCTAGATCTTAGGCTAAGGAATATAACCGTATTTACCTAAAGCCCCATCCTGGGTGAGCATAGACAGACTGTTCCATCTTTGTTGACACTAAATCTTCCTAGGTAGCAACAAAGAGGCAGGTTCTTCATGTACTAGTGGAGAAGCAGAGCTCAGAAGGAAACGTCCTGACCTGGGGTCATGGAAATCCGGGACATGCTTGGGGCACTAACCAAACACCTAGCCACTCCATTCACCTTCTCCTTGGGGTCCTTGGTCTTGTGCTCCTGTTCTTCCCGAAGAACTCGCCGCCGACCCAGCTCTCCACTCACTGCTTGTTCTAAATGTACCAGTTGCTGCAGGGCCACATCCCCAGCCAGTGAGAGCAGGTTCATCAGCAGAAATGTGGGGAGCATTGGGACAGTCTCTTCTGAAGAAGAGGAGAAAAGACACAGTCCCTTTATTGATGAGCTACTCAAAGTAGAACTAGGGAGATGGGGTGGAAGGATGGTGGCAGTAACTGGCCCAACATCAACCTAAACGAAAATGAGACTGTGTGGGCTGAGGGGAAGTAGGAAGTTCTGGTGGCAGTGGTTCCTGGGCCTTTAGGGAACACAGCAGAAGCTGACTGCCCACTCTAGTCCTGGTCCATCAAGCCTCTCTGCCCACTTACTGGGGTCCTCCTGGGTGGCACCCTTCTCCTCTTGGGTGGTGCTCTTCTCCTCAAGCTTCTCCAGGGCTTGCTTTGCACAGCCTTGTAACATCTGGGCACAGATCACCTCAGGGCCCTCTGCCAGTTGGTAGGTGAGGGCCACTGCCACCTCTTTGAATGGGATCCAGAGGGGATCTGGATGTGCAAAGCCTACAGAGAAGGGAGAAGTTGATCACTGTAAAGGGCCCAGCCAGACCTCCTCAAGGCCCTTTAGAATAGCTCACCTTTTATGACCATCTCTCGAAGTCGCTCAAACAACCTGTGTTCCTGAGGCAGCCGGAAGGGAGGGTGACGTTTGCCCAAAGAAGGCTGAGGAGAACAAAACACAGTGTTGGGGGGTGAAGGACGGACAGGAGGTTCTCCACTGTCTTTAGCTGGGCCATAGACACCACATTACATACCTTCCTCCTGTCCGAGATATTGGCAATAGCAAGGCACACCTGCTGGGCCAGCCTGTAATCCTGTGGAAACTTCTCAGCCAGCCCTACACTCACTAGTGTGTCTAAGTTGCTTCCTACAATTTCTGGTTTTCCTCTAGGGAAAGAAAACCAGAGTCAAAGGCAGCCCTGGGCAGGATTCTGTGGGAGACAACACAGTACAGGTAGCACCAGCACTCGTCATGTGTTTCTTGAACCCCAAAGCACTGCAGAAAGGCTCTGACCCAGGGCCAGCTCCTGGGTCCCCTGGTGCTAGTGACTGTTTGCACTAGGCAGGAAGGCCGTTGTTCATGTAGCCAACCCCAGGAAAGCTCAGTTGGGTCGATGGCTACTGCTGAAGGAAAAGCCTCATCAGGCCTTCCTTTCCTCTCCCACCCTACAGCCTGCTGGATCTGAGCCTCACCGTGCCATCATGCCAAGAAGCATGACAGAGGAACAGCGCTCCAGAGGAGAGCAGGGGACCTTTTCTGTGGCCTGTTCCCATAGCAGTTGGGTCACTGCTGGTTTCAACTCATTCTTTTGCACAAACTCACAAAGCTGAGGAGAGGAAGAAGAAAAAGAATTCAGGTCCAAACAGTTCCCTTGGTTTGCTTATCTGAAGACAACACAGAGAACCTGGAAGGCAAAGGAAGGGGCTCAAGTGTAAAGTAGGTGTGTGGGGAGGTACCACTCACTCCATTCTCTGCTTTCATCATCTAATTTATGAATCAGCCATGTAATCCTGTCTTTCCTTCACTTTGTCCAGTAAGTGCAATCCTATGGCTACTTCTCCAGGCCTGACTTTCTCTTCTCATCACTGCATACCTACAGGAGCCTCTTGTAGGTCTTCTACCCTGTCCCTAACTCTTCTCCGGTTGGCTTGCATGCTACAGCGGGTCAGTCCCCCAGCATATATTTCTAGCTCCTCTCTGTTTGCTGTAGCGGTTCCTGAATAGCAGCCAGGCCGGGACATACCAGGTCAGTTGCTGCCATCAGGTCCTTGCTTTTCCCTAGCAAGGAACAAAAACAGCAGGCAGGAGGCTTGCTTCCAGCAGTCAGAATCACCTCCCCTGATTCCTACAATGCAGATGCTCCAAAAGATAATCTTCATTGAAAACGCCAGGGTCCCTGGCTAATGATGTTAAAGTCTTAGACTCTTGAGAGCATTCAGGGACCTTCACAATTTAGTTTTGGTCTATAATCTCAACTTGGTTATCTTGTGCAGATAACAGTTTTGATTCAGAATGCAAACTTCCTCGGTCCAAAGCTGGGGTATGCTTTCTTTGTTTTTGTTAGAAATTCTCTCCTCTCTTTCTAAATCCTACCTATTTTCACGATCCATGTTTAATTCTACCACCTTCAAGAAGCAAGTCCTTGACTGGTCTACCTTAAGTGGCTCTGTGATCCCCATTACAGCACAAAAGTTGAGTATGTTTTCTGAAGCTCTTACATTCCTGTACCTCTTCCTGAGCCTCACAGACTTCTCATTCTAAATGCAGAAAGAACTACCCCACAGAGTTGCCGAGGACCAGATGGAGCAGTGTGGGTGAAGTACTAAGTATGGTGTCCAGCATGCATAAACAATGTATGTTAGGGTTATTACTGCTATTGTTATGTGCCACTTATTCTACTGATCAGTTATCCACCTGCTGCATTTTTCTAATAATGTTTTTGAGTATAAACAAACTACTAATTCCTTTAAAATTAGGAATGTGAGCTGGGCTTCGTGGCCCAACACTGAGGAGAGGCTAAGGCAGGAGGATAGTGAGTTTGAGGCCAGCCTGAACTACATTATGAGACAACTGCCTCATTTAAGTAAACTAGAAAACAATAAAACAAGCAAATATTCTTTTTTATTTTTTATGTGTAAGAGTGTCTTGCCTGCATGTGTCTAAGTGCACTCATGCAATGCCTGAGGAGGTCAGAAGAAGATGACGACTAGCGTTATGGATGGTTGTTAGCCACCATGTGGGTGCTAGGAATTGAACCCAGGTCCTCTGCAGGAGCAGTCAGTGCTCTTAACTGCTGAGCCATCTCTTCCAGCACCAGGACAGCAAATATTCTTATACTCTTTGTGGGGTTGAGTAGATCTCTGCACCCATTAATTACAACTGTTGAATGAACAGAGAGGTCAATGTAGAAGACTTACAATTTCCTCAAGACACTGGATGGTCCCAACTGAGGAATCCACTAACAACAAAGAGAGGTTCTGAATCAAAGCCTGGGCCTTGGCTCTGTGGGAAGAGTAGAGATCAGTGGTCATTAAAAGACAGGGAAGTTGAACTAGGTAAACAGGTTATTAGGGGTATAGGTTAAATAACTGCTTAGGATAGGCGCCAGTGGAAATCCACCCCGAGCCCTGTCAAAGACCTACCCACAAGTTCAGAAGTCCCGTAGAATACCTTCTTCCTCCAAGAGACTAGAAAATCCTGTGAGAAGCTAACCTCAGAGAAGTCAACAAAGACAAAGGACTCCACATACCTGGCTGAGTCTCCTTTAGGGTTGAGGTAGAGTTGGCGGTACGCATTAAGCACAGCTTCCCGGACACCAGGCTCCTTGGACCAGATGAGAGGCAGCATGCGGCGTACCCCAAACAGGGCCTGGGGTACCCCAAATTGGAATACCATCACAAAGAATTCAATCACCTCCTGCACCACTGGGGACAGATACAAATGTCACCCATCTACTTGACAAACATCCCAATACCTAAAGATAGAACCCTTGTTAACACAGCAACATGTAGTAGAAGCCTTTTTCATTGTCTTTGAGAATGATTCCTCCTCTAATGCCTTGTCACATAACACTACATGTTCCAAAGTAGGTAAGCTGTAAAAAGCAGAGGGAAAGAATCCCTGCCTTTTAAAGGAGCAGGCATCAATAAAATGTGGGCAGGGCTGTGTTTTCCAGCCCTAAGAGCAGCCCTCACTGAATGGGACCCTGGCCTACCTGTAGTTGTGTTTTCATACATCATCTTGCTGATGATGCCAATGGCCTCTGAAATCTTCTGGGAGAAGCTATAGGCATCCTGTAGATACTGCACCAGCATCTCCTGTTTCACCAGCTCATCATTCCTGCAAGACCCCTCAGGCTCAGACACACTGGGAGTGTCTTTCCTGTCAGTCTGTCCTGGGACCATGTTCCCATGAGAGCCCTGTGTGGAAGCTGCAGGGCCTAGGAATTAGAGAAGTAGAGGCTAGTTTGTTCAATGATCCTGAGGAAGTCCAGTGGCTATGAGTATCCCAGGCTATTCTTTTCACAATTTGAGGGTATGGGATTAGAATCTATTAAAAAATACTTTGGTTCACTTGTCAAAAAAGCTTCCTATAGAACTCTGTAGTTTGGACAGGCACCCTGTGATTGGGCTGCTCCCATTCCAGAGCAGAAGCTATACCAACTCCCCTCTTGCCTTTCAGCCAGATGGTTTGCTTGCTGAATGAAGGGAAAGTATTACCTTTGAAGATAATTCCCAAGAGATTCAGGAACCTGATCTCCTCTGACTCTCCTGGGTCTGTGTGACTGAAGGGTTCAGACTCCTGGAAGTGGCTTGTGGCTTCCTGGGTGAGAATGATAGCCTGCCTGAAAGAGTACCAGCCTGTCACCAAGTCAGCATCCAGAGTGTCACTGCAGCCTTTTATGAGGGAGCCTACCTCATGACTCCACCTAGCCCCTAGAACCGTACTCCAAGAAAAGGAGAGTGTTTCATGCTTAAAGAGTTGAGCACTGGGACTGGAGAGATGGCTCAGCAGTTAATAACACTTGCTGTTCTTCCAGAGGACCTGGGTTCAGTTCCCAGTACCTACATGGCTGCTAATAACCATCTTTAACTTCAGTTCCAGGGGACCTGACACCCTCTTCTGGCTTCTGTGGGTATTACATGCATGTTGTGCACTTACATACATGCAGGCAAAATACTGATAAAATGAAAATAATTAAAATAATTATTTTAATTAAAATAACTAAAAGAGTTGAACATTAGGCAGAAGAGATGGCTCAAAGGTAAAAGCACTGGCTGCTCTTGCAGAGGACCCAGGTTTAGTTCCCAGCACCTATATGGTGGCTAACCTGTAACTCCAGTTCCAGGGGATCTGATGCCCTCTTTTGGCCTGTGTGGGCACTGTATGCACATGGTGTACCTACTTACATACAGACAAAACACATAAACAACAGCTGAGCATTACCCAGTCTTTACTGTAATCTTCAGAGAATTTGACTAAAGCTTTTCAAAACACAAACCTGGGGCTGGCAAGATGACCTGTGTTAAATCTTCAGAACCCACATGGTAGAAATGGAGAACTCACTTCTTTTTTTATTGTTTTTATTTTATGTGTATGAGTGTATTACATACATGCATATAAGTAAGTGTACCTATGTCACGCAGTGCCTATGGTGGTCAGAAGAGGGCGTCAGATCCCCTGGAGCTGGAGTTACATATAGTTGTTAGCCGCCATATGGGTGCTAGGAATTGAACCTGGGTCCTCTGGAAGAGCAGCCAGTGCTATTAACCACTGAGCCATCTCTCCAGACAGGAGAACTCAACTTTAAAAAAAAATCTTTTTGAGACAGGGTCTCCCTGTAGACCCAGCTAGCCTGGAACTCTCTATGTAGACCAGGCTGGCCTGGAACTCACAAAGATCCTCTACCTGTCTCTGCCTCCCAAGTGCTGGGATTAAAGGCATGCCCCACCACGCCCGGCTCTTTTTTCTTTTTTTGAGTGTGGGTTTTATAATGTAGCCAGGCTGGCCCTGAACTCACTATGTATCCTAGGCTGGCCTTCAACTCCCAATCCTCCTGCCTTAGATTCTGAAGTTCTTGGATTACAAACATGTGCCACCATGCTGCTGCCCCACAATGGAGTCTATGCAGTCATAAAAATTGTGGGCACTGCAGGGAGCTGTAGTTCAGTGGCAGAGCATATGCTTGGCACATGCAGGTTCCTGAGTTCTATCTCCAGCAACCACAAAAAAAAAGGGGAGAGGGGAGCTTCTTAACACGTGTGTCAAAAAGCCAGACATGCCACACTTAAACACCTGTCTGATAACTGCCATCTGGGAGTGTGTTTAGCTCACTGTATATCTGTGATGTCAAAGTGCAAAATGCAATGACAGGAAAAATGGCCTGATGTGTAAGTACAAACATTTCCAGAGGATGCAGGCCTTCTCCACGTGCTTTGCTTCGTCCTGTGCATAGCTCTTTGGCTGGTAAACCTAATTTTAAACTTTCAGGTATTTTTGTACAAATAAAGGACCAATGTTTTGTGTTTTTTTTTGTAATTAGAAATAAACATTAATGCAGTGTTCTTAAACACACACATAAGCTGGGCATGGTGGTATGTGCTTATAATCCTAGCACTGGATCTCTGGGACTTGCTGGCTGGCTAGCTTAGCTAAAGTAGTGAGCTCCAGGCCAATGAGAGACCCTGTCTCAAAAAACAAGGTGGATGGCTCTTGAGGAATGACACCTGAGGGTGACCTCTGGCCTCCACGTGCATGGATACACACATGCACACAGATCACACAGAAGTCACCTAAGAAGCTTTATTCTACACTGGGTGTGGTGGTCCATGCCTGTAGTCCTAGTATGTGGGAAACAGAGGCAGCATTAGGAGTTTTTTTTAAGTTTTGTTCTGAAATGCTTAAATTTAATTTGAAGTAAAACAGCTCTAGATTTGAAATCTGAAGAGCGAGGCTCAGCTCTGATAATTAGCTGGGTATGATGGCCAAGTCAACTAATTTGACCTCTGTTTCCTTATTTGCAAAGTGGGAGATAGTCTGATAATATTAGCTACCCCAAAAGTTGTAGAAAGATCATAAAAATCAAACTTGAATAGAAAGAGAAAGCTGATGACTGTTACACGGACGTCAGTTATTAGCAATGTAACCTGGCATCTGTTACCAAGAATTTCTGAAGGGGGAGACATCTTTAACATGAAAAGAAACCTAACTGATGGGAGAAAGTAGTATACTTGTAGAGAAAAAGAACAGTTATGAAACTATAGTCTCTATGCTTCAGTAAAATAAAGAGTAAAAAGGCACAGGGGAGCTAAGAGGGCAAACTACCCGCACTTTATATAGCTTTCTTCTTTTTTTTTAAATGAATTTTTTTGCGAATTTCATACAATATATTTTGATCATGTTTCTATCCCCTCCCCTATCTGCACCCCTTACCTTTCACCCAATTTCCTGTACTCGTGTGTGTGTGTGTGTGTGTATTAAGGCCTATAGTCAGGTTTATGTCCCCAGTCGCCCTTTGGTATGGGTTCATCCACTGGAGCCTGGTCAAGCTACCAAGAGTCTCACCCTTAGATGAGACTTACTCATCCCCTCCCAAAAGCCATGTGTTGCCAATAATTCCTCAGGAAGAGCTGGGGTTTCTCACTCACTTCCCCATGTCTATGCTGGGGCATTTAGTTTTAAAAAAAGGTTTCTATTTTGAGGGCTGGAGAGATGTCTCAGCAGGTAATAGCACTGGCTGCTGTTTGGTTCCCAGCACTCACATGACAGCTTACAACCATTTGTGACTCCAGTTCCAGGGGATGTGACACCCTTTCTGGCCTCTGTGGGCATGCATACATGTGGTGCACTTACATACATGTAGGCAAAACTTATACACATAAAACAAAAAGACCTTGAACTTCTGATCCTCTAGCTCCACCTTCCTGGTGCTGGGATTTCTGTCTGTTTGAGGCAGGGTCTCTCTGTAGCCTCAACTGTCCTAGAACTTCCTATGTAGACCAGACTGGCCTTAAATCTCTTGGAGATCTGTCTGCCTCTGCCTCCCAAGTGCTGGCCTAGTAGTTTTGAAAACATTAATACATGTAGAAAGGCAGTTGTGGAATATGCCTCTGCAGACTGTTACCATAGAGAAAACACCTACTGTCTTCTGGAGGCAATGTAGTTAGGTATGATTCACTTTAAGGAAACACTGTTAAGTTTCTCAAAGGCTGACTCTTAAATTCACACAGATCATTGGAGAATACCGTTCCTTCACATACTTGTAACTGGCTTTGACAAGCAGCTGTCGGATGTGCCCTTTCACCTCTTCTGCAGTCTCTGTTTCAGCAATTTGCTGAGGCATCACCTCTTCTTCCTGAGGATGCTTTAGAAGCTGCTGCAGGGTAGACTTCAATTCTGGCTGCATGGCTTCCCACTCCTCCTCTGGGTCTAGCACTGCAGCTGAATGAGAGAGTCTTGCTTAGTCTCTTTCATGGAATTTCTGACCATAGGGAGAAAGCCAGCCAGACTCCTAGGCAAGGGCTACTCACAGGCAGCTGCAGTTCGCCTCTGGGCTCTCATTTCTTGCAATTTCTGGATCTCCTTCTGCAGGGGTCCAGCAAGGTCAGTATCACTAAGCTGTCAAGGTAGGATGAGTATCACATCACTAAGTGACATAATTTTATCCCTGTTTCCGTTTCACTCCTTTTTTGCATGGACTATGTTGACTTACCTTGCAGGAAAAAGGATTATTGGCTAGAAAGCTGGCCAGCAGCTGAATGGCATTTTTACATACTAACACGGACTTGTCTGCCAGACGGCCCACTGCTAAGTCTACCACTGCCTGGAAACGTGTCAGGGGGAGAGCCTAAATGAGCAAAAGGAGAAAAATCAATTCAAATCTAGTACCACCCATTCTGATCAAGATGATTCTGAAATACACTATATCAGGCATTGTCCAACTACAGCCTGTGGGAAACATTCAGTCACAGATAGCCATGTATGTGTCCCAACACAAAACCATAAACAGTATTATTTGGTAACTCATCATATTATACTGTTCTTGAGCATCAGCTGTGTAGATGACAATGTCAAAAGGTTACAGACATGCCTATGAGTCCAAGCTTTCCACTCACTCTAAGGAAACTTTTCCGTAGGACTACACAATATGTAAGCAGCACCCTTTGTGGTGGGTAAGGTACACTATTGTTCTTAAATGGAGCCAGGTACTTTTGTCCTTGGCAAAGGAAGACTTTTATTGCTGGTAATAAGAATCTGAAATCTAGACTGGGTGTGGTGTGGTGGTACTCGTCTTTGATCCCAGCACCTGGGAGGCAAAGGCAGGTGGATCTCTGTGAGTTCAAGGCCAGCCTGGTCTACAAAGTGAGTTCCAGGTCAGCTGGGGTTATAGGGAGACCCTGTCTCAAAAAGACAAAAAAAAAAAAGAATCTGAACTCTAGACTGGGCGTGGTGGCACATGCCTTTGATCCCAGCACTTGGGAGGCAGAAGCAGGTGGCTCTCTGTGAGTTCAAGGCTGGCATGCTCTACAGAGTGAGTCAGCTGGGGCTATAGGGAGACCCTGTCTTAAAAAAAAAGACCAAAGGGGCTGGAGAGATGGCTCAGTGGTTAAGAGCACTGACTGCTCTTACAGAGGACCCGGGTTCGATTCCCAGCACCCACATGGCAGCTATGAACTGTCCTTAACTCTAATTCCAGGGGAATCCAAAGCTGTCTTCTGACCTCCTCAGCATTGCATGACACAGGTACGCTCACATACATGTAGGCAATACACTCATACACATAAAATAAAAATAATAAATAAAATATTAAAAAAAAAAAGAATCTGAAATCTAGACTCTTCTTTGGGGCAGATACCAGATTCTCTGTGTCACTTCAAACAAACAAACAAACAAACAACAACAAAAAATTAAGACAAAGTCTCATATAGCCCAGGCTGTCCTCAAACATGAGGCTGATCTCAAGTACTGTTTTCTTCCTCTTCGAAAGTGCTGGGATTATAGGCATGTGCCACAAAGCTCAGATTCTCTTTATTTTGGCAAGTGTAGAAAGGAATATTACATATTTTTGTGTTTACCTTCTGTTGGACAATTCGAATAAAGAGCTGCAAAACACGGCTTCGAACAAAGGAGTTGACATCATGGCCATGGGCTTGCAAAGTATCTAAGAACTGATCTCTGGTTTCTCGGGCTGCTTCTTCCAGTTGGTCACCATTCAGAACCTGCAGTACCATCTCTGCCATGGCCGCCAGCACAGCATTGCGCATCATGTAATTCTAAGAGAGACAAGAGTACATTGGGACAAATCTCTGCACCTCCAAACGTTCCTTTCCCTAAACTCTTCTGTCCTTAGTTAATGTTAAGATTGCTTGTGCTAAGCTGTGACTTTTCTGGTCAACTGCCTGGGTATTTATTCCCCGTGTCACAAGAAAATGCTGAAGTCCAAGGGAGATTTGTTTACGTAGAGGGGAATAAAGAAAATAAACTAATAGATAAAAACTAATTCTTTCAAAGGTTGAGTATTCCTAATTGGAAATGCTTGGGACAACGTGTTTTGAATTTGGTCTCTCTCTCTCTGTCTATATCTTGGGAATGGGTACCAATTCTAAATATACTTTATAACCTGATGGTACTCTTACATAATTTTTTTTTTTTTTTTTTTGGTCTTTTTGAGACAGGGTCTCCCTGTAGCCCCAGCTGTCCTGGAACTCACTATGTAGACCAGGCTGGCCTCGAAGTCACAGAGATCACTTGCCTCTGCCTCCCAGTGCTGGGATTAAAGGCATGTGCCACCACGCCCGGGTCTTATATAATTTTTTAGTAATTATGTGCATAAAATAGTTTCATAGTGTCAAAATTTCTTCTTGTGGTATCTACTTGGAGCATTTCAGACTTAGGATTAGGGAGGCTCAATTTATACTTGATTATAAAATCTGGGGCTGGCAAGAGGGCTCAACAGGTAGGTCACTGCCACCAACTCGAATGACCTGAATCAATCCCCAGAACCACATGTGGAGGGAAAGAACCAACTCCCACAAGTTGTCCTCTGTGTGCACTGTGGCATTCATATGTCCACATACATATACATATTATACATACACGCAAAACAAATACATGGTTCTTTGTTTTGTTTTGCTTTGTTTAGACAGGGTCTCACTATGTAGATCAGGCTGGTCTTGAACTCACAGATATCTATTTCCCTGCCTCTTCCTCCCAAGTGCTGAGATTAAAGGTGTGTGCTACCACACCTGGCAAATAAATATAATTAAAAAAAAAAAAAAATCAGGGCTGGAAAGCTGACTCAGCAGTTAAGAGCACTTGCTACTCTTTCAGAGGACCTGGGTTTGGCTCCCAGTACCCACATCAGACAGCTCATAACCACCTGTAACTCTGGGGTACCAGGGACACACATGATGCACATACATATATGCAGGCAAAACACTCATGTACAGAAAATAATAAATAAATCTTTAAAGAAGAATCAGATCTATTCAACACATACTTGAAAAGCATTATTATTGTTTATCCAAGGCCTCAAAGCTTTTGATCCTTACAATTAAGCAATTCTCTTTCTTCTCCAAGCCTTTACACAGAAGAGCAGAAATCAGCCCTAGGGTGCCAAGGAGTCTGTTATGTCATCTGCTAGAGAACAGAGCTTAGGATTTTTTATTTTTAATTTTTGGCTAGGCCAAGAGCTAGAGAATAGTCTTACACAAGAAGTTAAAGTAAATTAGACGAATGAATAGACTATCTGTGACTGTCACTTCCCCCAATATCAGTCTGGGAAGAGGCAAGGTTAACATCCAGGGAAGAGAGAATTCAAGAAACTGCAGAGGTTGATCTAATAAGCTCATTGTTGTAGCAGGCAAGGTTAGTCAGATGGGAGCAAGAGGCTTCAGCTTCAGGAATGGATGGGACTCACCCAAAGCTGAGTCACTCTCACTAGTCAAGCTGTAGAACTATTATCTCCTCACCAGGACTGGATGAAACCCATGTGATGTTAAAATAAGATTCATAAAGGGCTCCTTATTTAGTAAGCTTTATGTGCATCTCTGTAGGAAGGCACTGTCACAGTGATAAATTTAGACTTGTCTTCATGTGATAGGGGCTCCATGTATGCTTGGCAAGCAGTCCACCCACTGAGCTATATCCCCAGCTGGAGGTACGATTTTAAAAAGAAAAGCTGGATGTGATGGATGCACACCTTTAATCCCCGCATTAGGAAGCAGAGGCAGGTGGATCCCTGTGAGCTCCAGGCCAGCCAGGGCCACATAAAAAGATGCTGTCTCCAAAAAAAAAAACCAAAAAAGCAAAAAGTCTTTTCAGCTTTTTCAACTTTTAGACCATGTGCTTTGCATGTATAAGGCCCTGAGTTTGATCTGTAGCACACTGAAACAAAGAAAAACCAAACAAACCAAAGAAACACTTTTTCAACAATGAACTTAATTTGGTAGACAAATCTGATTCCCTGTGGACCACCTACCTCTCTATCCAGATGATCTAACAAAATACACATGCTGGACATCAGGATGGCTGGGACTTGTTCTGCAAGATCAGTGAGAAAGGCTGCGAACCCCTTTGCCCCAGCAGTGTCTCGACTCAGCTCCTGTGGACACTTCTGTCCAATCTCTCTATACAGGGAAGAAAACATGCTAAGACAGCTTACTTATTCAGTTCCCAGCAAGGGAAGACAAGGCAGGTAGCTGATGTCTGAAGGAATCTAACATGGCATGGAGAAAGTATTCTAACCTTTCTAATCCCTTCCCCAAGGAAAACGAGACTTAAGAACTTTGGGAAGAAGAGTCACCTTACGATCTCGCCCACTATGCTCTTCATTCCATCATTCGTTGCCCATAGACTCACAGCTGCTGCCAGTACAGACGGCAGGTGCTCAAAGTGCTGTAGCATCTGGATGATCTTCACCGTGGCGCCTGTGGAAGCACTGAACGTCAAGAGTTGCAGGTGAACTGACAGGGCAGGCAGTTGTGCGGAGGGAAGGACAACTTACTCAGCATATGGTTATAACGTGTCAGAGCCACCCCAAGCAGGTGTGTTATGGCTTCCCTGGTGGGGCGGTTCTTCTGGTGACTAATGGTGGGATTCTCCAGAAGGCGGTAGCAACAGCCAGTAACCAAACTGAAAAAAAGATGGAAAGGAAGAAACCAGCTGTCTGGAGTCAAGTCATATAGGAAGTTCCAACTTCACTCAATCTGTTTCTGCTGCACCCAAAGTCAAGGTCTTACAATGTTTTCATTCTATTATCTCCAACATCAAAATGCTTTGATGAGAAGGTGCTCTTTCCTTCAAGATTAGCAAGTTTCAGCCAGGAATGCCAACAAAGAACGGGAATATATGATCAAAATGATAGGACAGGGGCTGGAGAGATGGCTAAGAGCACTGACTGCTCTTGCAGAAGACCATGGTTTGGTTCTTGGCAGCCACATGATGCCCAACAACTGTCCATGTAACTCCAGTTCCAGCAGATCCAATGCCCTCTTCTGACCTCTACAGGCATTGCATGGCACAGGTGCACTCAAATATACATAGGCAAAACACTCATACACATAAAATAAAAAGTATTTTTTAAAGCTAGGGTAAAGAGGCGGGTGTGGTGGTGCATGCCTTTAATCCCAGCACTGAGGAGGCAGAGGCAGGTGGATCTCTGTGCGATCGAGGTCGGCCTGTCCTACAAAGCAAGTATAGGGAGACCCTGTCTCAAAAACAAAACAAAAACAAAAAAGACTGAGGACAAAGTTATCAAAGATTTCTTATTATTAAATGCAATGGTTGGTTTAGTCTTTACTCAACAGACCTTTCATTTACATCTGCCATAACTAACTGATCATTTACTTCCTGCCTTCCTTGTTTTTGTTGTGCGTGTGTCTGTCTGCACATATGTGCATACATGTGTATGTTTCTGTGTGGATATGTGTAGAGGCCAGAGGTCAACTTCCGGGTTTATTTGTCAGGAGCTGTCTTACTTTTATTTGAGACAGGGTCTCCCTGTAGCCCAGCTGGCCTGGAACTCGCTATGTAGACCAGGCTGGCCTCAAACTCACAAAGATCTGCCTGCCTCTGCTGGGATTAAAGGTGTGCAACCACCATGCCCGGCTGTGTTCCTAGTTTATTGAGACAGGGCTTCTTACTGGAACCTGGGGCTTACTGATTAGGCTAGGCTGGTTGGCCAGTGAGTCCCAGGGATCCACCTATCTCTGTCACTGTAGTGCTGGGATTCTAAGCATGTGCTACCATGTTTGGATTTTTATATAGGTGCTGGGGATCGAACTTGGGTCCTCATGGCCACAGGGCAAGCACTACTGACTTACCTATTTAGAGACAAGGTCTTGCTTTGGCTGGCCTGGTGTTCACTATGTAGCCCAAGTTGGCCTCAAATTTCTGGCAATCCTACCTCAGCCTCTCAAGTGCTGGCATTATAGGCATGTACCACCAAGCCCCTAACTTTTTCCTTGAAACATTCGGCTTCTAAGACAATGGACTCCCTTCTCAAGTCTTTGCTTCCTCTTCATCTCACTCTCTTAATCGTGGAGCTCCTTACAATATAGTTCTTTGATTTCTCTTCTAATTACATTTACTGATTTAGTTACCTCATTCAGTCTTCATGGCTTTAAATACCATTATATTCCCAAAGGTGAATCTCTAGCCCATACGTCTTTCATTCATCAGTTAAATCTAATGCCTTTATTCAGATGTCTAATAAGCACCTCAAACTGTATGTCCAAAGTATAACTTCTGATCTTCAAATACATACTCCTAGCCTCCCTCCATTAGTTACTAGCAATTCCTTTCTTCCCAATGCTCAAGCCAAGACCCTAGGAGTGTCACCATTGACTGTACCCTCTCTCATTGGGTGTCATACCTCACACCCAATCTGTCTGCAGATGTGTAATCCCTAACGTAAGGAGCAAAATCCAACCACTCCTCCCCATCTCCAGTGCCACTCTTTAGACAGTGACACTGGTAACTAGTCTCTTACCCCACCCCCAGTCCATTTCAGTCCCACAGCCAGGATGACCCTGTGAAGTACAAGTCCCATCACCTCACTACCCTGCTTGAGAGTGCCCCCAGCTCACTGAAGAGATACGAAAGGCACCGTGATGGCCTACAAGGCCCTGCAGTTTGGTTCCTGACCGTTGCTCTAACCTGTCAGCCCACTCACTCACCCTCTCAGCCACTGTCACTTCAGACCCCACTGCTGCTGGGTGCGTTCCCTTTTAGCGTCTCTGTGCTTGCTGTTTTTTCCTGGCTCTTGCTATGCCTTCAAATACTTCTGTATCTCTCATTAACTTCCTCTGGATCTTGGCTAAAATGTTGCCATTTCAAAGAGGTCTTGCTAGAACAGTTGATTTAAAAATCACAACCCTTTCTACCAAACTTCCTATCCCCACCCCCATTTTGCTCCATAATATCAGAACACATACTACATACTTATTTTTAAAATTGTTAAGCCTGGTATCATGGCTATTAATTCCAGCATCTGGGAAATTTAGGCAAGATTATGAGTTCTTTTTTGGGGGGTCTTTGAGACAGGGTCTCTCTGTAGGCCCAGCTGGCCCTGGAACTCACTTTGTAGACCAGGTTGGCCTTGAACTCACAGAGATCTGCCTGCCTCTGCCCCCTGAGTGCTGGGATTAAAGGGATGTGCCATCATTCCTGGCCTTTTTAAAAAAGTATTTGATTTATTATTTTTATTTTATGTGTATGAGTATATTGTCTGCATGTATGTAGGTGCCATGCAGTGCTGCGGAGGTCAGAAGGTGTCGGATCCCCTAGAAATGGAGTTAAGGATGGCTCATAGCTGGTATGTGGGTGCTGGGAATCGAACCCAGGTCCTCTGCAAGAGCAGTCTGTGCTCTTAACTGCTGAGCCATCTATCCAGCCCCAGGATTGTGAGCTCTAAGTGAGCCTGAACTACAGTAGTGAATTTAAGACTGTCTAGGCTACATATTGAGGTTCCACCTTAAACAAACAAACAACCCAAATCATCTTCTCCTTTATAATATAAACCCAGAGGGCAAAAAACCTTTGTTTCCTATAATGATGCCCACCACACACCTAGAGAATTCTTAGTAAGTACATCTCCATGAATATGTGGGCATTAAGGATGAGAAATTAACAATTTCTAACACTCCATTACATCCACATTATAATTAATTACATCTACATAATACAAATAGACCCAAATAACGAAGTGGTTTTTTTTAAGTTATTTTATGTGTATGAGTGTATTGCCTGCATATAGGTAAGTGTACCCGTGTGATGCAATGCCCACAGAGGACAGAAGAGGCCATCAGATCCCCTGGAACTGGAGTTATGGACAGTTTTTTTGGTCTTTTTGAAGTAGGGTCTCCCTGTAAGCCCTAGCTGTCCTGGAACTCACTATGTAGACCAGGCTGGCCTTGAACTCACAGGGATCCGCCTGTCTCTGCCTTCCAAGTGCTGGGACTGCAGGTGTGCACCACCACGCCTGGCTCCCTGAACCTGGGTCTTTTGCAAGAACAACCAGTGTTCTTAACCACTGAGCCATCTCTCCAGCCCCAAAATGAAGTATTTTAAAAAGGTATATCTGGGGCTGGAGAGATGATTCAACGGTTAAGAACACTGGCTGTTCTTGAAGAAGACCCAGGTTCAAATCCCAGCACCCACATGACAGCTAACAACTGTCTGTAAACTTCAGTTCCAGGGGGATCTGACAGCCTCTTCTGTTCTCCGCAGGCATTGCATGACACGGGTGCACTTATCTACATGAAGGCAATATACTCATACACATAAAATAAAATAAAAAAAGACAAAAAGGTGTATCTACAAACAGAGCCCTCTTTCCCCATGGCTCAATATTATCTGCAGCCATCTTCACCACCCACCTGACAAATTCTTCCTCAATTACTGAGTGGTTCCATAGGTGACGAATGTCCAACTGGAGTAGCTGTGTTAAAAGCTGAAGAACTGGCTGTCTTTCTTCCTCCCAGTCAAAGCCATGGGTTGCTTTGGTTCGGGCTTTCTTACCCTAAAAGTGATCATATACACATTTTGGAGGGGGGAAAAAAAAGACAAAGAGGGCAAAGATCTTTTAGCCTGTGTACCCACACCAGTATCAAGACAAGGTAGAAGGTACCGTAGAAACGTTATAAGATCTAGAAGGTTACAAGAACTACCTTCAGGGAAGGAGCTACGATACTTGAGTACTTCTTCCTAAACCCTAAGCAAGGACAGTAAGCACCCCAGAATCACTGGATTCCCTTCTTTCCCATCAACTCCCTCATTCCCTATGTAAAGCGAGCCAGGAATTCCCAATTACCTTCCCACCCATGTCCAGGTCAATGAGGCTTTTCTGGCTGGTCATAGTCTCAAAGGATTCCAAGAGGCGTATCAGGGCATAGCAGTTCATTTTGAGGGCGTTTAGATGGGCGTTTCTGTCTGATACACTCAAAGTTGCATCATCCAGGATGGCTGGAAGCTCTTGGGAGTGGCGCGATACCACTGTGAGGGAGAATCTGGGAGTTGGTCTCATTCACGCTTTTTCTGTATTCCCCAACTTCAAAACACTTAGTACTTCAGCCATCAGATTACCAAAGATATATGTTTCATCTCTCAGTGGTCATGACACAGCTAAGTCCTTTGAGACCCTTGACCTTCGTACCTTGAATATGCCCTGTTCCTACTCTCATTTCAGTTACCTCAATTCTCTCTCTCTGACAACTGAAGAATCACCCCTATGGAAGTGAGGTGGTTCCAAAGTAGGAGAAAGTTCCTGTTGGTCCGCCCTTACAGTGAACGCACATAACTCGGTATTGCCCACCAAGATTACAGACCTGATTACAGTCAAAGGTCCCTAGACTTAGCCAACCAACTGAATCACAACAGCCTTGATATCATCATGTGGCTGAGGAAACACTTAACATAATACACAACAGCAAACACCTTCCAGCCCCTGCCCCGACCCATAAACACCTTTTATCAGGAATTCCAGAGTATCTTCCTTGAGGCCAGGATCTATACTTCGAAAGTGACTATGAGGGAAAGAAAGTGTGGGGGTGAGACAGGAACCTGCAGAGCCCATCCTAACAGATCAGATTGAATCTGAAGAATCTAATATTAGAAAAAACACGTGAAATTGCTCTAACAAATAAATATGATAGCAGGTTGGATTAATGCTCATTATAGAAATGTCAGCACCCAGAACCATTTATCAGTGAATTTTAGAATAATAATAATTTGGAATTTCAGGATTAACATGCAGTATCAGAGCAAACAGCCACCAGTTCTTTTAAAAGTACCATCTGGGTGTTTTACTTACTGTAAAATGCTATAGATAGTATCAAAGTGTTCCAGCATCGCAAGGGGCCCCTGAGTTCGGAAGGCAGCCTGAAATGCTAGAAAATGAAAAAGCTGTTCACTTCAGAGGAAACTGGGAACTTTATGGTAAAGTCTGTCCAAATTCTATCCACAGTGCATCCACAATCCACAAACCATAGCTCTTTAGTCTTCTTCAATCTTTATTTTTCATGATCTTTATGTTTCTTTTAGAGAGTACTAGTCAGTCATTTTGTAGAAAGTCCTTCAATTTAAAACTAACATAGGAGGGAAGTTTGGGTCCCTCTCACCCACCTTATTAAGAGATATACGATGAGCCTATATGGTGGCACATGGCTATAATCCCAGCAACTCATGAGGCTGAGGCAGGAGGATGAATAGTTCCAGGCCACTCTGGGCTCCATAGAGACCCTGTCTCAAAAAAACAAAACAAATCAGCAAAAAGAAAAAAAAAAAAATAGAAAAAAGAGGCACATGATGGCATGGTCTTACTGCTGATCGTAATTTAACTTTGATTATTTGGTAGTGTTTACCACATTCTCTACCATAGTTTTTCTCCTTTGCACAACCACCTACCACATTTCAGGACTGCATGTATGATAATGGTCTTGCAATCACAGTGATGTAGTGGCCATCTTGGTTTACGTATCCTCCATGATGTTCAATGTTAACTAATGACATAATTACCCTGTTAAACTATAACAATATCCTGTGGAAAATGTTTGAAATTATATAAATATCTTCCTTCACATCACCTTTTTGCTAAGTTAAGCCCGACACAAATTAGTGTGGTGTTTACTACATTTTTTTTTTTTTTTCTTTTTTGGTCTTTTTTGAGACAGAGTCTTCTGTAGCCCCAGCTGGCCTGGAACTCACTATGTAGACCAGGCTGGCTTTGAACGCAGAGATTTGCCTACCTCTGCCTCCCAAGTGCTGGGATTAAAAGCATGCACCACCATGTCTAGCTAAATTGCTTTTTCTATTTCCATGATTATTTCTACACTTACTAATGTGAACCCTATGCAAGCATGAGTTGAATTGAAGATGCATGTAGCACAGTGACACATCATTTGCTAGCATGGACAAGGCTCTAAGTGTGATCTCTAGCACTGCTCTACCCCCACCTCAAAGGACAGACTGTCTCTTTCCTGTTCTTATTCTTTATTAAATGGCTTACTTATACTGGAATAGACTCATGTAAATTTCCTTTTATTCTGTTTTTTACTCTATTGCTATCAATCTTTTTTTTTTTTAATTTATGAGTGTTTTGCTTGCATGTATGTAAGTGCGGGGTATATGTGCAATGTCCATAGGGGCCAGATAAAGGTGTTGGATCCTCGGACACTGGAGTTACAGACAGTTTTTAGCCACCATGTGAGTACTGGGAACTAAACCCAAGTTTTCTGCAAGAGCAGACAATGCTCTTAGCCACTGAGCCATATTTCCAGACCTATTATTAATTTAATTGCAGGAAAATCAGGAGTTTACAATCATCCTTAGCTACATATTGAGTTTGAGGCCAGCCTGGGCTACATGAGACCTTACCTTTGAAAAACTGAAAAAAAGTTTTTAAGAACAAGCACTAGACAAATGCCTCTTCCCATTTCTGGCCATGATGGCATGGAGCTGCCATCTCCAATGCGAGATAGGCTGGAATCACATGATCAGGTGCTAAACTAACCAACCTTCCTGTTGTCGGTGATCATAAATGAAGTAGGCTGTTGGACTCGTCTTTATAGATGAGGAAACCGAGGCACAGAGAGAATTATGTAACTTGTTTAGGATCAGAGTGGCAGAGCCAGGAATCAAGTCTAGGCAGCCTGGCTCCAGAGTTTTTATTCTATGTGTAACTCTCTAAAGCAACACAGTGTGAACCAATTCTAAGAAGTCCAGGGGTATTATGGCGTATTGTTGGCAACATACAAGTTATTTTTAGTCCTTCATTGGTTTTAGTAAGTAACTGCACTGTACATACAATCACATACTACATACTACCATTTTAGTCAATGAAGGACCACATATGGTGTCCCTGTAAGAGTACAATAGAGCTGAAAAATTGCTATCGCCTAGATGTTGTAGCCATTGTTACATTTACCAATGCATGCTTTACATGTTTGTGCTGATACTTATGTAAACAAAGCCACTTTACAAATCCTATAAAACTACAGCACATACAGTTATGCACAGTGTATTAATTCTTGAAAATAAAGGACTAAGCCAGGCATGGTGGTGCATGCCTTTAATCCCAGCATTTTGGAGGCAGAGGCAGGTGGATCTCTGAGTTCCAGGACAGCCTGGTCTATATAGTGAGTTCCAGGCCAGCTGGAGCTATAGGGAAGCCCTATCTAAAAAGACCAAAAAAACAAAAACAAAAACAAAAAACATCAAAACTATATTACTGGACTATATTACTGGCTTATATAATTATTATAATTTTACTTGTTATTTTAGAGTATAGAAAAGAAATTTTCTGGGCTGGAGAGATGGTTCAACGGTTAAGAACACTGGCTGCTCTTGCAGAGGACCTGGATTCAGTTTCCAGCACCCACATGGCAACTAACAACAGTCTATAACTCCAGTTCCAGAGGATCCCACACCCTCTTCTGAACTCCACAGGAATTGCACAACATGGATGCACTTACATTCATTCAGGCAACATACTCATACATATAAAATAATAAAATCTAAGACTGTGTTACTCTAACAGCAGCCTCATATACCTTTTCTCTCTCTCTCTCTCTCTCTTTTTTTTTTCGGTCTTTTTGAGACAAGGTCTCCTTGTAGCCCAGCTGTCCTGGAACTCCCTATGTAGCCCAGTCTGGCCTTGAACTTACAGCAATCCTCCCGCAGAGATTACAGGTATACATCACCACATCTGGTTTTATTTGTTGCTGGGGATTAAACCTAGTACTCTGTGCACACGAAGCAAGCATCGTACCATCTGAGCTACATCCTTAGCCCTTTTCTTGTACTTTAGTCTCTTGTCCGTCACAGCCCTTGGAGCAACAGGCTATAGCATATACATACGCCATATAACTTAAGTGTATAGTAAGCTATACCATCTAAGTTTTAGAAAGCAGAATCTATGATGTTCCCAAAATAACAAAACGATTCAACACGCATTTCAAAATATATCCCTGTATCACATCTGCTAAGTGACAAATGGCTATATTTTGTATGATATTGCAGCCAGAAATGTTTTTTACCCATTATTACATCTTGGAAAGAAGATCTAGAGTCAAATGCTATCATTGCCTAGAACTCGTCTACTAGGACTGTACTTTGGCATATGGAAAGGGTAAAAATCCAAAATAATTTCCCTGAAAGAGTAACTATGTACTGTTTATTGCATAATCTGGGAAAAGACTGCTAATGGGTGTATTTTGTCTCATGAATTCCATACAGTACTAGAAAGAAACCAGCAGGGAAGAGACATGTTCCTTGCCCTCACAGAGTACATAGTGCTATCAAACAGAAAGGTCAGCGTAATTACATGTGGGTTGTTTTGAAATGCTAGGAGCAGTGGTGTCCATGGAGTCTTACCTCTGAGCTGGGATGGCAGATGCTTGATGGACAGCACCTCTTGAACGACATACTGATTCACACCTCCACTTTTCAGCAACTCCTCTGGGGATAAGGGCAGATGAAACTCATACTGGGGAGGCATCCTTCTCCTAGCAGTTCACAAGGCTAGAAACCAAACAGCAAAAAAGTGAGGGTCCAAATATAAGAGAGGGCTTGTTTTTCATTATCTGGGAAAGAGCATCTTTTTCTTTCTCTCTTCCTTTATCGTCTTTCATCTTTCTCTTCCTTCTTTGTAATACTGGGACTTGAACTTAGGCATGCTGGGCAAGTGTTCTGCCACTGAGTAAAGGCCTTTCATCTGGTTCAATGACTTCCCCACCTCCAATATATGCTTTTCAGTCTTTTAAAAAATGTTTTATTTAATTTTTTGTGTGTATGAGTGTACCACTACATGTAGGTAGGTGAACCCATGTCATGCAGTGCCCATGGAGATCAGAAGAGGGCGTCAGATCCCTGGAACTGGAGTTATAGATGGTTATTAGCTGTTATGTGGGCGCTGGGAATCAAACCCTGATCCTCTGCAATCAGTGCTCTTAACCGCTGAGCCATCTCTCCAGCCCCGTTTTTTCAGCCTTACAAGCTGCTAACATCATGTAAGAGTTAAGATCAGCCAGCCAGACGTGGTGGTGCATGCCTTTAATCCCAGCACTGGGGAGGCAGAGGCAGGCAGATCTTGGTCTACATAGTGAGTTCCAGGCCAGCTGGGGCTACAGGAAGATCCTGTCTCAAAAAGACCAAAAAAAAAAAAGTTACGATCAGAGCCAGGCACGGTAGCACATTCTTATATTCCCAGTACTCAGGAGGCAGAAGGATCAGGAGTTCAGGGTTGGCCTCTGCTGTATGGCCTGGGCTACATGAGACCTTGTCTTAAAACAATCCCCCTCTCCCTTAAAAAAAAAAGGATATGACTAGGTGAAGTGGCTTATACCTTTAATCCTGGCACTCAGGAGGCAGAGGCAGACAGATTTTTTTTGTGAGTTCCAAGATAGCCAGGTCTACTAGTGAGTTCCAGGTCAGCCAGGGTTACACAGTGAGACCTTATCTTTGAGAGAGACAGAGAGGATCAACCCTTTACAAGAATTTAACTCTTATAATCTCTTTCCCACTAGATCACTTAGACCCCAGGGCCTCATCTGTAAAATGGTGTTATTCTGAGGATCAAATTAATCTGGTTAAAAAAAAAAGTGCTTAAGGGGCTGGTGAGATGGCTCAGCAGTTAAGAGCACTGGCTGCTCTTGCAGAGGACTCAGGCTTGATTCGAGCACCTACATGGTGGCTAACCAACATCTATAACTTCAGTTTCAAGGGAATCTGATCCCCTCTTCTGACCTCTATGGGCACTGCATGACATGGGTGCACTTACATACAAGCAGACAACACACTCATACACACAAAATAAAAATAACAAAACATTTTTTTAAAAAAGTGCTTAGAGCCAGGTGTGGTGGTGCACCCCTGTAGATCCAACACTTGGGAGGCTGAGGCAGGGAAGGCTGCTGAATTTGAGGCTAGCCTGGGCTGCACAGTGAGTACCAGATTGCCAGGACTATGTAATGAGACCTTGTCTCAAAAAGCTGTTTTGCTAAGAATTCTTAAATGACAGTGAGTGTGTAAAAACAGCATTATTATTTCCATTTAAATATGAAAAGCCCCTTAAATACAGAGACACTGTCTCACCCAGCATTAAGTAGTGGGATTCCTGGCTGGGGAACAATAACTTCTACTTTACTCATCCAGTGCCTGGTTCTGAAAGGCTAAATATCGTATCAGATCTAAATTTAACAAAACAACACAATATACAGATTAGGTATTTAAGATTAAGCGATCTGTCCAAATGACACACATTCCATTTTGGACTTGTTACACTTAACAGTATCTACCACGTAGGATCCCCAAGGACATTACCACCAGACATCCTTGCCAACCGCATACTGCCTAAGGTTGCGTCATGACCAGTACCTGATCTTTTCAGTCTTTTACTCCTTACTTCCTATTACTACCACACCTCACCTGGTGACCCCACCTGAGCACCTCACCCGCAGCTCCTCGGACTCGGGGGTCGACTGTCCGAACTGGAAGGAAGAAAACACGAGCGCAGAATAAGTACCAATCAGCGAGCTCGTTTTCAAGCTGGCGGACAAACTAGTCAATCCTCGGCAGCCTGATACAGAGACCCGCCTCTTAGCCCCGCGCTGCGCGGGCAAAGCCACCTACATGGAGTTCAAATCTCAACGGCTGCAAGCGGGCCAATGGGGATGCTGGCTGGGTCGGCTGGCCAATTAGAGCACGGGACGCAGAGCGACCGGAGAGAGGCTTGGCCTCAGGGTCCCACCGCAGCCTCCCGGCCTCTGGGTCCCCAGACTGGAGACGCCGCGATCGCGGCCGCGCAGTGGCACCCCCCCTCCCCAGGACAGGAGGCAGGTGCAGGCCAGGGCTCTAACCCAGGTTTTGCCATCTCCGCCGGCACGTGACGTCCAGCCAGTCCCCTCACGGAGCCCCAAATCCCCTGCCCTGTAAGATGCCACAGCATAGCCCTGCAGCCAGGCCCAGCGAGGCATAGCTTCTGCACGCTCCGCAGCTCCGGGCTCCCCCACATTCCCCGCAGTAGAGGCCGCCCCAGGAAACAGGAAAGGGTGGATTTCCATGGAATGTCATTTTGCGAAAGCCCTACTCCGGGATGAAGAGCATCTCGCAGCGCTTCCGGCTGCCCAGAACTTCCTGTGGGCAGATCTGAAGCCTCGGAGTTGGACAGCCTGCCAGGCCTCCGCAGGCCGGAACTTGGGGGGCGGGGCTTGTGGCTGAGGCCTGCACCGCCCTGCACCCAAGGCTACCTGGGTAAGGCCCAAGATGGCTGCTCCTATGTCTTAGGTCCGGTGTAAGGTCGGCAGGATCCGTCTCCTTTGTCTTTTCTTTGAAGGCCACGCCTGTGCCCCATTTTTTCTGCTGTTGAGGGGGACATATCTGAGTAATGGCAGGGGGTCTCCCTTGGGCGGCAAGTAGGAGTCTACGGGGTTGGCTGCCCTTGGCCTGCAGAAGTTTCTCTCTGAGTAAGTGACTACTGTAGATGTCTAGAACTGCTGGCAAGTAGACAGCTGTGATTCATTCCTTCTCCCCTCCACTCCTAGGTGTCCCAGAACTGGCCCGTATAAGGCTTACTCTCCCACCCCCAAGAGTAGTTGATCGCTGGACCGAGAAGAGGGCTCTGTTTGGAGTATATGACAACATCGGGATCCTGGGTAAGACTTGATCGCTATGCCGTGTAAATTTCAGAAGGCCGATTATGCTATATCGGCTATCCTTTTTCATTTGTGCAGAGAATATTAATGTGCTCAGGTCCGGTCTGGTGGCACAAACCTGGACTCCCTGCTACTTGGGAGACTAAGGCCAGAGGATTGAAAGCTCAAGGCCAGCCTGAGCTACTCAGAATAGCAACATACTTGGTTGTAATAACACTCAAGTGACTGTTTTCTTTTCCTTTAATATTTTTATTTATTTATTTTATGTGCATGAGTGTATTGCCTGCACGTATGTAGGTGCATCCGTATCATGCAGGTCAGAAGAGGGAAGGTTGTTAGCCACCATGTGGGTGCTGTGGGTCCTGGGAACCGAACCCAGGCCCTCTGCAAGAGCAGTCAGTGCTCTTAGCCACTGAGCCATCTCTCCAACCCCTCAAGTGACTGTTTTCATTGTATTGCACACTTTTCTGAGTGCCCAAAGCTAGTAAATTGTAGTGTCAGAATTTGAACCTCAAACATTCTGTCTCCAAATTCTTTGGGATATTTTTTTTGGAGGCGGGTGTTTTTTAAAGATTTGTTCTTTTTTTTTTTGTCTTTTTGACAGGGTCTCCCTGTAGCCCCAGCTGTCCTGGAACTCACTACGTAGACCAGGCTGGCCTTGAACTCACAGAGATCTGCCTGCCTCTGCCTCCCAAGTGCTGGGATTAAAGGCATGTGCTACCATGCCTGGCAGATTTGTTCATTTTTATATTATGACTGCATGTGCTTGTTTATCTGTATGTGCACTGTGTGCATGCAGGTGCTCACCGGTGTGGGATCCCCTGGAACTGGAGTTACAAGCAGCTGTAAACAGCCTGATGTGGGTGCTGGGAACTAAACCCCAGGTCCTCTGCAAGAGCAGCAAGTGTTCTTAACTGCTGATCCATCACTGCAGCCTCAGAGTTTTTGTTCTTGATACTCTATAGTAGTGTGTCTTGTCTATAGGATGGACCTGAGGAGGTACAGTTGTGAGTTAAAGGCTTATCTGGTCTAGGCTCTGTTCCCTTGTCTTTGAAACTAGTGTATTCTTTCATATTACAGGAAACTTTGAAAAGCACCCCAAAGATCTGATCAAGGGCCCGGTATGGCTTCGAGGCTGGAAAGGGAATGAGTTGCAACGCTGTATTCGAAAGAAGAAAATGGTTGGAAATAGAATGTTTGCTGAGGACCTCCACAATCTTAACAAACGGATCAGCTATCTGTACAAGCACTTTAACCGGCATGGGAAGTACCGATAGAACAGAAAGCTGTGGGCTGTGGAAGAGACACATTTGTCACCCTAGAGGAGGGGAACAGGATTTACCTCTATGAGGAAAGGGTTTTGTATGTTCTCTGTAATAAAATGGGCCTTCTTTGGAATCTGATATGTGCTCTGTATTTTCCTCAAAACACTAGTTCTCATTCGTGTAGACTGTGAAGTCTGTGTCATCCCTACAACTTAGGGTCTTAGGTTAAGACTTCATTTATCATTTATAATCTAATTATACTTTGGGCCTTTAAAAGTAGAAAAATTAGAGCCAGGTGGTTGCATGCCTTTAATTCCAGTACTCAGGAGGTAGAGGAAGGTGGATCTTTGTGAGATCAAGGGCAACTTGGTCTTCATAGTGAGTTCCAGGGCAGCTGAGGCTATAGGACCTGGTTCAAAAAAAATAAAAGTGAAAAAATAGTGAGACTAGTTTGTTGTTAGTACTTTCTGGCACTGACCCTTTATGTAAAGTGGTTATTTTTTATTGTTTTAATTTCTGTGTATGTGTGTTTGTGATCTTGGGAGATCAAACCCAGAGTTTTTCAAGTGTGCTAGGCAAGTGCTCTACCACTGAGCTATATCCCCAGCTCCTTGAAAGTTGTAATCATGCTGTTGTTTCTAAAAGCCCTTCTACATAGAAACAAAATATAGAAAAATGAGATTATATTTTTGTACTAATAAGTATTTGTTGGGGGCAGGAGAGATGGCTGAGCAGTTAAAGGGCACTGACTGCTCTTGCAGAGAACCTGGGTTTGGTTCTCAGCATCCACATGGCAGCTAACAACCATCCATAACTGGTTCCAGGAGATGTGACCCCTTCTTTTGGCCTCTGCAGGCATTGCATGTGTACTTGCAGGCAAAATACATGTAAATTAAAAATAAGTTAGCAGGGCATGGTGATGCATGCCTTTGATCCCAGCACTTGGGAGGTAGAGGCAGGTGGATCTCTGTGAGTTTAAGGCCAGCCTGGTCTACATTGCAAGTTCCAGTACAGCTATGGCTTCAGGGAAACCCTGTCTCAAAAAAGTCGGGGGAGGGGGAAGGGCTGGAGAGATGGTTCGGTGGTTATAGGCACTTAACTAGCTACTCTTGCAGAGGACCTGGGTTTAATTCCCAGCACCCACATGGCATCTTAACAGCCATCCATAACTCCAGTTTTAGGGGATCCAACACCCTTTTCTGGCCTCCATAGGAGCTGTACACACCTGGTACCCTTACATACATGCAGGCAAAACACTCATACCCATAAAATAAAAATAGATAAATAAAAGAAAAATTTTTAAGTAAGTTTAAAAAATGTATTTATTGGGTAACTTCTTTGAGTAGGTAATAGAGGAAAAATAAAAAGTAACATCCTCCCCATTTAATTACCTGTGGAGACAGGGTCTTATGTAGCCCCTGAACTGGCTATGTATTGAGGAAGATGACCTTGAGCCACTCCCAGTTTTATGGAGTGATAAAGATTCATACCCTGGGTTCCCTACATGCTAAGCAAGCACTCTACCAACCGAGCTATATCCCTAGCTCCTCCTTTCCTTTTTAATAGAGGCTTCAAGTACCACATGAGTAGTATGCATGGGGTATGAAGCCTGGTTGGTCATCAGAATCTCCTGAGTAGTTTACTATTTTAAAAGTCCTGTCCCAAACTACAAAGATGGATCCGTAGAGATAAACTGAGTCTTATGAATCCATGTGTGGTTGGGTTTTTTTTGAGACGGGATCTTCCTGGAGCCCCAGCTGTCCTGGAACTCACTATGTAGGCCAGGCTGGCCTCAATCTCACTGAGATCTGCCTGCTTTCCTAGTGCTGGGAGTAAAGGCATATGCCACTGTGTGTGGCATTAAACCAGAGTTTCTTTTTTGGGGGGTGGGGTGATTTTATTTTATGTGTATGAGTGTTTTGCCTGTATGCATGTAAGTGCACCTGTGTTGTGCAAAGCCCATTGGAGGCCAGAAGAGGGTGTTAAATCTCGTGGAACTGAAGTTATGGATAGTTGTTAGCCACCATGTGGGAACTGAACTGGGGTCCTCCGGAAGAATAGCCAGTGCTCTTAACTGCTGAGCCATCTCTCCAGCCCCAAACTGGAGTTTCTTAAACTTTTTCCATTTGTGACTCACCTGAGAGGTTTTTGTTGTTGTTGTTTATTTTAAATTTTTTTTATTGATTTTTTTTCTGTATCTCATACACAACATCTTAATCATCTTTATACCCCTTCCTCATCGGCACCCTCCCATAGCCACACACCCTGCACTGGATTTCATGCATTCTATCATTTATGTTAAGGCCTATCAAGTCAAGTTAGTATCCCCTGACATCCTTCAGTGCATGTTCATCCACTGAAGGCTCGTCAGCCTATATAGAGTTACTCCCTTGAAGAAGATCAGCTCTTCCTCACTTAGCAGTAATCTGTTGCCCAATAATTCTTCAGCTAAGATTGGGGCCTGCTGCCCATTTCCACAGTTGTCTGCTTGTGTTTGCATGGATCTTGTGCATGCTATCACCATTACTGTAAGTTCATATGCACAAGGTCCTAGGAGCATAGAGACAGGAAGTAGTCATGCACCTCCTCCCCTGGCTCTTACAATCTTTCTGCACCCTCTTCCACAATGGCCCCTGAGCCCTAGGTGGGTGAAGTTTAATATGGTAGTCCTGTCCAAGGACCCACACTCTGCAGACTCTTGTTCTCTATACTTTGGCCATTTGTGTTCATTGGCTCTTTCTGTTGTATGAGGAAGCTTGTTGAGAGTTGAAAGATGCATTAGTGTTCCCTCTACCCCTTGCTCCACTAGGTTCCTTAAGCCTTAGGTGTAGAGGTTCCATTGTAGATGTATCACTTAGGGCTGGGCAGCTCACAAACGTGATCTCTGTGTGTGACCAGTTGTGGAATTTTGTATAAAGTCTCCACCTGCTGCAAAAGAAGCTTCATTGCTTTGTGGTGACTGGCACACTTGTCTGTAAATATAAGGATTCATATCTAGCATATACTAAGAAACTACATTTGCCTAAGAATGTGACAGCCTTGGGATTTCTTTAACATCTATGACCTCTCCAGCCATGTGTATTTGGCTATGTTTACAGTATATTATTTTTTGAGACAGTATCTTGCCACCCTGACTTGCCCAGAACTCGATGTATAGACCAGGCTAACCTTGAACTTGTAGAGATACTTCTGTCTCTACTTCCTGAGTGCTGGGATTGCAGATGTGTGCCACAAAATGCAATGCTGAGGACTGAACTCGGGGCATCATGCATGGTGGCAAGCACTCTACCAACTGAGCTATATCCCCAGCCACAAGAAATCTAAAACAATTCTTTGATATTGTTCTAGTTTGGTTTTCTATTGCTGTGATAAAACACTGATCAAAACCAACCTGGGGAGGAAAGGGTTTATTTGGCTTATATGTCCTGATCACATTTCATCATCAAGGGAAGTCAGGGCAGGAACTCGAGGCAGGAACGTGGAGGCCGGAACTGAAGCAAAGACCATGGAGGAACGCTGCCTATTGGTTTGCTCCTCTGGCCTATGCTCAGCCTGCTTTCTTATATAATCCCAGGCAACCCGTCCAGAGGTGACACCACACACTGTGGTCTGGGCTCTCCCACATCACTCAACAATCAGGAAGATGCCTCACAGACATTCCTATAGGCCATCCCATAGAGGAAATTCCCCAACTGAGCTTCCCTCTTCCCAGGTGTGTCAAGTTGACACCTGAAGGCAACCATGACAGGTGTGCATATAATTTTACCATCTATATGAAAATACTGAGGGCCAGCAATATGGCTCAATGGGTATAGGTACTTGCTGCTAGGCTTGATAACTTGATTTTGATTTCTTGGGACCCCCATGGTAGATAAAGAATACTCATTGTCCTCTGACTCCATGTGTGTGCTATGGTGTGCACGTGCACACACACATACACACACACACAATTAATAAGAAACATTGCATTTCATAATGTATAATAGTCGTGAGGTGATTTGCAACATTCATTCAGTTGCATGGTGTGATGGTATGTGTGGTGCAAAGTGTGTCTGTGGAGTGTTCAGAAGTAAGACTAAAGCAAAATTGGATGGTGCAGCATGGGTGAGCACTGTCAGAAACTTCAGGGCTGTGCATAGTGACATGTGCCTTTAATCTCAGCATTTGGAAGTAGAGGTAGGCAGCTCTCTGGGTTTGAGGCCAGCCAGGGCTACGTAGTAAGACCCTGTTTGAAAACAACAATGGGCTGGAGTGATGGCTCAGCGGTTAAAAACACTGGCTACTCTTGCAGAGGACCTGGATTCAGTTCCCAGCACCCACATGGCAGCTAATGAATGTCCGAACTCCAGTTCCAAGGGATCTGATGCCCTCTTCTGACCTCCAAAGGCATTGCACAACATGGGTGCACTTACACACATGCAGGCAATACACTCATACACATAAAATAAAAATAATATTAAAAAAGACAACAAATACCTTAAGTTCATTACACATTTTAATTTGAATTAATTTTTGGTTGTACTTAGCAACCTCTTACTGTTGCTAATTTTTTCACATCCTCCACATTCAGTTATAGTGATGAAGAAAAGTTATATTCTTATAACTAACTGTATTCTTATATAATGTCCTTGTAAGCTTAGGCCATTTGAAGTTTCTTTTGTTTTACTTATTGGGTAGATACCTTGAAGTGTGACCCTGGGATATTTAGAGATGTTTTATTGCTCTGTGGTGTTTTCATACCCTGAGATGTTTTGTTACTCTGTAATGCCTTGAAGCTCTGTGATGCTTTTCACTCATTATGCCTGACTGTTGATGAAGATGTAAAACTAAGAGAATGGAAAGTTCACTGAATGGTTTAATGAGGCACCTTACCCAATTAGTCCAAGAAAAGTGTAGATCAAAGTGACAGACATCTAAACTTTTGCCAGTGATAACTGTTTCGGTAAACTGTAATGACTGTTTGACCAATTCCTAGTCCAATTAGCCTGGCTTAGCTATAGATCAAAAGGTAGCTAGGCCAGGTGTGGTGGCGCACGCCTTTAGTCCCAGCACTCAGGAGACAGAGGCAGGAGGATCTCTGTGAGTTCAAGGCCAGCCTGGTCTACATAGTGAGTTCCAGGACAGCTGGAGCTACAGGA